GTTGGATACATGTCTTGTACAGCTTCGATCGCTTTTTGCAAATTTTCTATGCTATATTGAACTTTTGGAGTCTTTGGCATACTGAAAATGAAACATTAAAAGCCATTTCAATATTTATGCCTGTAAATTGCAAAACAAGTCTAGCAATGAGCAACTTAAACACTGCTACTGCATGGTGGCAACACTCTAATAATAATTGCTCTGGGCAATAACTATACATTAACATATGGCAATAACTGAAATGATGGTGGGCAATAACTAAAAATATACAGATTTACGTGCAGTGATTACCCACCGTTAAAATGACCGTTAGAAATAAAATTTTATCAGTTATTTTCATTGATAATGGAGAAAACACTTATAATTTCATCATGACTATACACCATTAGTTGAATATTAAATAACTTGCAAAAAAAATGTAACCTCTAAGCAACTAATTCCTTAGTAAAATTGTTAAAGTCTTTACCTGTTTGAGTAACATTTTCACCCGTCTTGACAAAATCCGCCATAAATGGTTTTTTTAGTGTTTCCTATTGTAAATTTTAAATATACTGTACATTGATCTCGGAGCCATCTACTTAATAAATTTAAATTTAACTAGAGTGATTCAAAGTCAGCACCTGACAATATTATTCTTAAAGCGGGCAATCACTACCAGTGGGCAATCACTCTCTGGTTTACCCTAGATAAAATGTATTAAAATAATTGTGTAATTAAATATGTAATTGCTCAGACCTCGTAAATTGTATATTGAATAATTGCATTAATAATATTTACATAATAACACAAACATATTTGTTCCAGTTATTTTACTCCAACTGCGTAAATGTTTGTTTCGCGTCGCGACGCGTCTGACGCGTTGATATCTTTTGTTCGGGCGGAGTTCTGCGAACATTTAACAGTATGTAAATAAGTTTCTATTTATCTCAAGTGCATGTGCTTTAGCAATAAGATTATACAAGAGTGATTACAAGAACAAAATATATTCAAAAAACATAAACATTCATCGCTTTTTAATGAGGGTTTTCGCGATTGAAAAATCCGCCAGATGGCAATACGTCGGTCGGTCCTAATGCTGCATGATTGGTTATTTTTGACATGACATTGACAGATATGTCAAAATCCACCAATCACGCAATCACGCAGCATTTGGATCTCGCGTCTACGTATTGCCATCTGGCGGATTTTTCAATCGCGAAAACCCTCATTGAATAAGCACTTTAATTTGTTTTCATACAAAAGTCGTCCCACTTACATACATATTTTTTACCAAAAATGGGAATGTTAATGAAAGATCGTAAACGACATAATCTCTATTAATTTCGCAGTTAACTTTCTCCCAAAACGAAGTAATTAAATGTGTCCGGTTAATGAACACGAGCACAATCGAAACGAAAGCCGTAAGTTTGTTTGTTCGTTTGTAATTACGCGTTCATTTTCAATACAATTGCGGGTATCCAGACAGAGGAACAAGAACTCTATCCATAGACAATGGGAGGCTATTGAACGGAGCCGCCATAAAAAGGTGGAATGTATGACTGAGCCGCTTTGATCTTCATTAGGTGAGTAGTCAAAGATTTTACTGATAAGTTCATTATTGAATTCTGATTTGTTTTTTTTGCAAGAATATTTCAGAGCAAGACAAAAACTATTTGATTCTAAATAAACTAAAGCCGCACTAGCGATGAATCGGCATAATATGACTTTATTAATTTATTACTAAAACATACGTAGGTAAATGAAAGAATATGAAAAGAAATTAATATATTATTATTTTCAGTATTAGACATTTAGACCCTCAAAATAAATAAACCTATGCCCGTTTTCACCATCAATCCCTAATTTTAAGTGACCCCTATGTAAACAAAATTCCTGTTATTTGTTACCATAGTGGTCACTTAAAAATTAGGGATTGATGATGAAAACGGGCACTACTCTCATATCTATGAATGGTACTGTTTCACTGATTTCTTATTTATTATTATTGCGCTAACAAACGGCGCCTAATGTAGTCTCATTCAGAAGCTAACACTATTAATTAATGTCAGTGTGCAAGCTTTTCTGACTTCCGACCCTCACAAAAACAAGCCATTTCTACGGTGTTATTAACGAGCCCAGTGTCGTACAAGCTGACACGTTATCGGCTCTTACGCATTAGGAAGACGAGCGCAAAAACTGGGAGCGATCTTGAAAAACAATACTCGCGTGCGCCGCGCAGGCTTTCACAGATCGCACGGGATGTCTAGTGATGTGCGATGGTGAAACAAATAACGACATAAATTGTATAGAATATAGATTACATTGTACTGTACTTCTGTAAGTAGGAATGACTTGTGACTATTGCAAGAGAACAAACTTTTCTCTTGCCGATCATTGAAAACTTAAAAAATTCACACTGCATTGCAATGGAAAAATAAACGCGTAGCATTTTATTTTGATTTACATAATTATTTTATTATTACAAAATATAATAGTAAATCCAAACAATCCGAGAGAAACCTGGAAGAGGGAGACATTTTCCCATATCATAAAATAAATCCTAATAGTGAACTGTGTAATAATTTGTAGGTACTACTTATTCAGACCACAGGTTCATACTGACTCCTGCTATAAATAAGTGCCAATATTTTCTTTACGGCATAATAAACTTTGTTAAGAATGTTTTACCCAAACTAAATAAATATTTATATAAATCATTAAAATCGATATCGATAAACATGCGAGCTAAGCTAGTTAGTTCAGTTCGTAGGATGGCGGGGCCATGGGAGAAGCCGCGCTCATTGCGCCCACACACGCTAGCCCAACCAGCGCAAGCTAGTAAAACCACAGAATAAATACTGTAAAACTTAGCAGATTAACATTATAACTTATTGACTATTCTATCTGATTTACTGTAATATACGTAAGTATGACTAAAAGACATAGGGGTAGTAAAAAAATCCCACCTGCTTTTACCAATTTTGTCGTGTCGTGATACTATTTTAAACGTATCTTTCTTTAATTCTAATTCTTAGTATTTAGTGGCCCATTGTCTTTTTCAATACCATAAGTTTTTGACTACCTATAATTTTCTATATATTTTTTTAATATTATTTTCTTTTTATTAATCGACGATAGAAACCTATATTATTCTACAATCTCATACTAATATGCAACACATAGGTTATTATGACTACCTACCTACATAGAAACATTTATTTGAAAACTGGCTGACTCTGGGAAGACTGGCTGCTCGTAATAGGCTACTATCATGTCAAGAAAGGTCTGGCAATCACTGAGTGTCAGCTTATACTGAATTACGAGCAGTAAATTGCCTCATTAGCCTGTCCGAAGCTGCGTCAGTCCAGCGCACAGCGACGCTGCGCGCGCGCCGCACTTTCCCTCCTCGTGCAAGTTATCTTGCATCTATTCTAAATTATACCTAGCAGGAAACAGTTTTATTGATTCGTTACATATACACTTAAAAGGTATATTACCTTGATAATTATCCATACATAACTACTTCGAAAAGTATGACTTGGAAATTGAGCGACTCACGAACGATCAAATTTCTATTAGTTAGAAGGCAATCTTTATTAGGGCAGTTTTTAATACGAGATAATGTGATTTTGAAATCACAAACATAATGTTGTTCAAATTCATTTCAGGCACGTATGTATACAATGGTCGTTACACAATGTAACATACACTTAAAACAAATATTACTACTTTATTTTCATAAACGATAGCTTGACAATGGTTTATTATGTGTCAACTTTACTGTTATGTGATTTTTGTTTGGAGTCTCACAATCTGTACACGAAACTATGTTTATTACTTGCGCATTTTTTAGAATAATAATGAAATTCGCATGAAAAACCTCGACGAATTATTGTACATAATTTGTTATTAGAATAGAATAGAATAGAATAGAATAATCTTTATTGCCCAAAACTGTGTATGTGTATTTTATAAAATCATCCACTTATACTTACTTTTGATGTAGTTAGACGATCTTTACTAATAAATCTTACATTTTACTGTATGAGAGAGAGATAAAATAACATGAATGAATTTAAATCCTTTCACAATGTTCGGGATTCGGGAAGACACTGTAAAGTTAGTACTAAGTATAGGAAAAAAAAACATGTTGAAATTATATTATGGTAATATCTGTCCTTGAAGTTAAACGAAACCGGTCTGAACGTGGTTTTGGAAGAGTTATGTACGCGTGCGTATAAATCTCGTTGGTACCTACCTACATACCGAACTACTTCTCTTATCAACTGATTTACTAATAGGTGCAAATAAGCAGCCATCCCTACTCTTGGCTTAAAGTTTATATCAAGGAATATTATTATGATTTTTACTTGCAAATAAATGTAGTCATAAACTGTTGATTATACGCACGTAAACTGGTGTTCATTATGCGGTTAAAATAAAAAACAAAACGTTAGTTATGCACTCATTACTTACTAGTAAAAGAACAAGTACCTAATTATTTACTTATCGTTTAATTATAATTTAATATGCACAGTATGCTTTAGTCTAGCATTTTAGATTGCCAACCCTGAATATTTAAAGTAAAACTGTCATTATAATACCGTATCAGTACGAGTAATCTTCACGCCAGACTCCGGCGCACGCAGCGCGATAGAAACTCATCAAACAAAATTAATAGTAACCACCAGGTTTATTGTCTATGCGCAGTTAGTGCCACAACAATGCGGGTAGCCGTGGATTCACGAAATTGACTGTGACTGGGAGAAGACGTGAATCATACGGTCACGCTTCGTAATATGCACAAAACACCTACCTACTTAACTTTCTTGTTGTATATGATATGCATATAAATATTGGCGGTAGTTCAACTATTGAATATTTTCGTAGGTACACACCTAACGATAATATGATAAAAGTATGTAAATAAAAAATTACGTTAATGAGAAAAAAACTATCACAGGAACTCACAACTACCTGCAAGTTTAAATTAAAACTTTTAATAAAAATAAATGACTTACGACAAAAACAAATAAAAATAAATCCTTCCGCCGCTGAACTCAAACACACATCACATCGTCACAAACACTGTGTTATTGCACAAATATCCGACTGCACTTATTCAAAGGTTAACGTCTGTCTCGGCGCGAACGAAGCGCGGGGAAGCGCTCTGAAGCGACCGACCGCGACGGGGCTTGGCGCCAGACTGGACTACGCTTAGCTGAGCGGGAGCGGCGACGGCGATGCCGCTGCTCGGTCGGTGCTACGCGTAGGAGCTCGTAGCTCCTGCGAGGGCAAGGAGGCGGGAACTCGTGGCCGTTTGCTTTATTGCACTTTACAGTGTAGTTCAGGAGAGAGGGTGCAAATCAATAACTCCGAATTTAACGCGTGGGTAAATGAAAAACTACAGTCCACTCTGGAAATGAAAAAAATACTAAAGTTTGTTTTCCCAATCCAGATGGTAAAATCTTACAGTTGCAAACATTTCAATATTGAAGAATTAACTACTCACACGGAAAATAAATGCAGACACATGCACTAGAGTTGCTACATGCCACAGATTTCCATTATTTTATATTACAATGAGAACCTACTTAAAAATGAAGAACCTTTTATGATTTTAGTGCATCCCCTAAGCTAAAGGTGACTGTAGTGTATAGACATTTGTCTCGAGCGCATACGTCACAGCCTAGTCGGCGGTGGGGGCATTCGGCGTCCGACCGTGGTGCGGGCAGGTCGTGCTGTGTGCGTAGGCGAGCCAAATAATAATCTAATGGCGGAGATAAAGGTGTACAATACAATGGCGACGAGGATTAAAAAGGAGTGTATAAAAAAAAATCGATATGTTGACTAAAAGGCAATCCAAGGTTCCATCAGCCACTTTTTAGTCCCATCATCGGATCAGCTCGATGGAACCATAGTATTATATTGTCATATAAATGTACATTTAATTGCCAATTTTCATGATGTATCATCAGAAGTGCGTGTAATTCAGATTCTTAGACTTTATTACATAGATCGTTAAAAGACTTGCAAGTCGACCTAATAAAAGCGTGTTAAAAATATGACTAGAGAAAATAAATTGAGTTTGAATCGCGACATTACACACAGTAACTAAAAGTATAGGAGGATATTCAAATACATACAAAACTATAAAAAAAAAATAAGAGTACTAGGACAATGGAAAGTGATGGACCAGAATGAGGGTGATTAATCAGAAGCTAATAGTAATATTATGGATATTGAAAATAGTAAAACAGTGAAGCAATAATGATCAAATGATTAAAACAAAGCGCCTAATAAAGAAGCGCCTCAAAAGTTAATTAAATAATAAATTGTATTTATTTCAAATTAAAACAAGGAAGGGATGTAGTGTATAGACATTTGTCTCGAGCGCATACGTCACAGCCTAGTCGGCGGTGGGGGCATTCGGCGTCCGACCGTGGTGCGGGCAGGTCGTGCTGTGTGCGTAGGCGAGCCAAATAATAATCTAATGGCGGAGATAAAGGTGTACAATACAGTGACCCCGCGAGCGCGTGCGCTGTTTATTTTTTCGTGAGGTGCGCGTGCGCCCGCGCTCATCGAGTGCTTCGGTGCTTTTTCTTCCCTTTCGCTCTCTTCAAAGTTAGGCCACAACAATGCCGAGCCGGTTTCATTCTCGTAAATTGTCACGATAATCTGGCAGATATTCGCCACGCTATGCAATGCTAAAAATACAATACTTTAGATCTATTGAATGAAAATATTTTTTGCTACCGTCGTTATGCGTAACTAATTTTGCGCCTAGCGTTCCACAAAAATACGTAAAATAGAAACAGAGATCGAGACTACAAAAGTATTTTATATTTTTTCATTAAAAAAGTATTAGGATTTGAATCGTTTCCTTTTTTGTAATTGCAAAATGTTTATTCTCAAAATGTAGACTGGTACCTATTTCGGGGACAGTAACAAGAATCATCGATATGACGGCTATAAGTAGGTATCGCTGGTCTGTAAAATAAAATAAAAGTGGTGGCCACTGGCCGTGAAATTGGACCACGACTCATTGTTGCCTTTGAATCACACTTGCGGATGTTGGGGTAAGAACTCGCTGGCTAACAAACACCTACTTACTATTACTGGCTAGAGCTAGTAACCTTGATATAACGCGGAAATTTCGTAAATACGAATACGAAATTTTCGACATAATATGTAGCCATCACTTAAACCACATGAATTCGCAGTGTGCAGTTAAACGTGTGATGTTCATGGAAATATTTCATACACTCGCGTATCGTAACGTACGCCATTATCAGATGCTGCCGGAGAAATTATGGCTTCATTAGTTTCTTTTTTACGCATGGCTAAACTATGCGTTGTCTGCGTTGAGACTTGAGAACGATCTCAATCATATTAATTTTTAGATTCGAATCCATAATGGTGCTTAAAAATTAAGAATATTTAGGAAGCATGATATCAAGACGTGAGTGTGTATTTTGAAAAATGTGAGAGAATACGACTTTACAAATTAAACAATGACTCTATGATCTTATCATAAAATTGGAAGAAATTGGACGAACTTTTTGAAAACTCAATTTTAGTTATCTAGATTAAAAGCAACATTTAATCCTACGTAGATTTGGAAAACCTTATCATTAGCATTTTTATAGAAAGTCAAAATCATAATCACATCATCATACTCGTAGCTCGTAGGTAGTTAAATGTCTAACCTTGTTCGCAGAAGAAACTGCATGGATCTTCATTTCATCCACCCGTAACAGAACACGTTCGGGATACACACGTAATCGTTGCAAACTAATATTTTTTCATACATTAACATCTGTAATAGCAAATCAAACCGACGTTGGGTGTCATTCATTCCGACTTCTGCAATTACAATTGCAGGATTAGCATTAGAAAACGCTTTGTCAAAACAACGACAGCCGGACGTTCTCATCCGACGGAATCAACGATATTACTATGTAAATGCGCTACATTATGTATTGATTACATCTTTACATTAAGTGCGCTACCTATATGATACAAAGGTAATACTTACCTACTGAGTTTAAGCTAATGGCGTTTCAGCCAAATGACGTCCACAAGTCCACAGCTGGACAAAGGCCTCCCTCAAGGACTTGCTATTATAAAATACGAAGTAGGTACCTAGAGTAGAGGTACTCCGAAATGTTGTTTTAGTGTTGTCTATTCCGCAAAACGTTGACTTATTTTATGAATTTTGCTTTGATAGAGACAGATAAAAAGGTAATTATGATATGAAGTTAGGAATCGTTAACCAGTAAGCGGAACAGGCACAAACTCGACGCGGGCAGTGGGGTGCTCAAGTCGGTTTCCAGCGCACACGCATTTTAACAAGTGCTCATTTTTTAATTAGCAACACTTATTTCTGCTAGGTAAACACGTGGCGTCTGCTGGAAACCTACTTTTGTTGTAACTATGGAAGACAAGAAACCCACCTGTACTAAGTTGATTAAGAAAAGAAAAAATGACCGAATTATAAATTGCGCTGTCTTTTTTCTCGGAAAAGAAAGTGAAAACAATTTGGTAGTCAGGCGTCTTACTTATTCGTAGGCTGCTGAGGAATGTAGTTTTTACTAAGTTAATTAGTTTTTTTAATTATATATTATCTACCAGACATTTCTAACAATATAGCAAAAATTTGTAATAAGTACATAAATATCGTAGTAATAGTTGACAATATATCTTACAATTTTAGAGAGTAAGTACCGGGGTAATAAACTTCATGTCATAATGTCTCATTTATCGAACAATCACCCCATGATGGCTCGGAAGAGCTCTTCAGTAAGAAAAACCATAAAAACGCAACTTTCCTTAGATCGTGTAGATAAGTTGTTTTCCATTTCTAGCTGCGCGGGCGCATAGACTGATGGTAGCGGTGATCGCTACTGTAACTTTCGCGGCGATGTCAGCGCAAGATGTTTTTAGTATACCGTGTCTATTGAAAAATTAATCACTTGTAAATTACATTCACTTCTGCCTGTCTGATCAGTCCATCGGCTTTTTACTGAGTAGTGGTAGTTACAACATGTGTACTGGACATGAAACAGGCTAGAATTACTATCTAATAAGAAGAGGGGTTTAAAATAACATTACAGAAACAATCACCATTGAAACGAGCCGCCTACTATTTCTGTTTGATCTTTGTAATGAGAAGTGATCAAGTGATGAGCTATAAATTGATTTACTAATAGATGTACTTTAGTGGTCACGAATGTTTTGATACGGGTTAATATGACGAAGCACAATGAAATAGGTAGGTAAGTATGTATATCAAGTACACCATCATAAATTATAGCGTAAGATGTTAATCTTCACAGCGCCCGCGCACATTCTGCGCGTTATGGCTTCGCGGAACATACTGAACCGTTGCGTGAATTTAGAATTTGTTCAAAATAGTAGTGTATTCACCTGGGAATACATACGAGCCAACGACCGCTACTCACAAAAAATATGCTGCTAAAAGTACCTACATAAGTAATACTAATTTCTACTTCAAATTATTTATTGTGTAAGTAGGCAAACATTTTTATATTAAACTTTCTCTTTGCAGCATTTTTTATAATAAAATCATGTTTAATACAAAATACGAGACCACAAACTCGACTTCGTCTGATATAGGTAAATAAATTACAAAAGGAAAGGATTTTAAATTAAACGAAGATTAAATAAAAAAATCTTTATTATAAAATAATAAATATGTTTACCTAGTTATTTTCTGTGTTCAGAATACTTTTTCTTATCTTTCACAGATTCATATTCGTAACTTGCATAATAGCTCTTCAATTCGTATTGTTCTTCTTTTAGTTCTCTATTAGAAGACTGTCGTTCACTTCTGTGTCTCTTTTTTTCTTCCTTTTGGTCTCTACTAGAATAATAACGGTCACTTCTGTGATTATATTGCTTTTCTTCCCTGTGTTCTCTACTAGGAGAACGTCTGCCGCTTCTGTGGCTATGTCGTTCCTTCTTGTGCTCTCTAGTAGAAGAATATTCTTCACTTCTGTATTTATCTTTACTACTCTTTTTATAGTCGTTCGTCGAAGTTTTTGCAGACCTTTCACTATCTTCATGATATCTTTTACGACTTCGATTTTCCCTTTGGTCTTCAACATTTACATCGTATCGGTCGTCGTACCTGCTTCGATCTTTACTTAAATATCTATCTCTTTCTTCCTTACCATCATTATACTTTCTATCACTATGACTTCTGTATTTACTACTAGAATCTACTTCATCATATTCAGTCTTTTTCGAAGTAGGTCTATCTTCATTATATCTGCTTCGAGTTTGTTCTCTGTTATGCTTTTTATGATCATTTCTATTTTGCTCACTAGTTCTGACTGAATCCATTCTAAAAGACCTGTTTTGTTCATTTCTTTTATCATCTCGCGGCTTTTCTTTTGAGGAAATTGCATCCGGTTTTTCCACCTTTACATGTGAATACACTTCCATCTGGAATCATTTTTTTTACTAATTTTAAATAAACGTATCAGCAGACGCCACTCACTCAACGCAACGTTTAGCAAGATCTATCAAAAAGCATTTCAGGTTGCCAAAAAAAAGAGGCATTTACCGTATTTTATTTTAAATGAATAGCCATTTGTATTACATAAATTAATTTTAAGCGTTAAGAGTTGCATCTCAATAAATTAATATCATGTGATTATTTATAGGTTTAAATTTTTAAGCAACCAATATTACAAATTTATTTGTTAATTCAATTTGGATCCGGATGTTTCAACAGCTATTAAAACCCTTGTAGCAACGTACCTGCGTCTTGATGACGTCACGCAGCACGTCGGAGTAGTTGGTGGTCTTGGCGGCCACGCGGTACTTGGTGCGCCGGCGCTTCATGTCGCGCAGCTCGGCCAGGATCTCCACTCGGGACTTCTGCTTCTTGCTCGTATCTTCTGCGCCTTGCTCACTGAAATCAAGTTACTCATGGAAATTTTTGGAAGACGGAAGATGGTCTTGTCTTGCCAAAAACTGTGATTGTAAATATTATTGTTCTAAGCCAGACAATATAAAGCTGTAATTACAAAAATCATGCAACTCCAACATTCAAAAGAGATTAAAAAATGAGACTTCATAATTTACAAGCTCATCATGCACATGCAAAAATTCTGATTGGACTACAATACTACTTTACTTTGTTTACCTGAGTAAGGCCAAATCAGAAAGGTCATGGCAGAATGGGGCCGCTTGCACCACAGCATCGTAGATAGCTCGCCGCTCATCACCCGTGTACGTGGACTGCAGTCGGTCCAGTGTCTGAGGCTCTATTTCTACATTGTCTGTTCCTTGGGTTAAGGAAAATTATTATATTATTTGTAAAAGCAAAGAACAAATCTAAGTGACATTACTAATGTGAGACTCCAACTCCACTTTTTACCATTTAAGTTTAAATAATTTGGGCTAACAATAGTGTGTGAGGGATTAAATTATTAAAAGGATACCGGCTGCTTGCATCAAATGTAACAACAACGTAAGCTGCAAAATGAAGAAGAATTAAAACCAAGCTCCGATAATGTTCATCTTTGCTGCAGGAACTTTTATTACCTTTTTTGAATGATGGGTCCGTATTTACTGCTTGGTTAATAATTTGTTGGATATTATAGTTATCTGAAAAAAGAAACATTCACATGACAGATGAAATCAATGTAAAGTTTGCTAAGGGGTAGATAAGATTTTTGATAAAACAGGTAACCAAATCACAGAGCTAGGTACTTACTTAATCGTACAAGTGTTTTGGCATTTTGATCAAGTGGGTCTGGAAGCATTTTATCTTCTTTTGAGTAACCATTATGAGCTAGACGACATTGCGCTTCGTGGCTTTCCTTACTTTCTTGTGGTATTTTATGATTGACATTATATTTACAAACAACCTTCGGACAGTCCTGCAATTTATAAAAATACAAAATAACAAAAAGAGAAGTCTATCAAATACTTATATACCTCAATTTATAAAGCTTTATACAATAATTTTATATAAATACAAAAACAAAATATAACCTCAACCAAATTCTTTCTATCCCACTGCAAATGCTGCAATATCTCAGTAAGTTCTGTATCAAACTCGGCGATATGTGACTGTAACTGTAATAATTCCGCTTTTCTAGTTTCCATTTTATAAAATAATTACATTAAAATAATTCGAATTGAAATTCCGAAAAAGTAAGTAAACAAATATTTTGACACTGACAGTGACCATGCCAGGGTGTGGAAACTTCCATACAACGGTCATCGAAGTGAAACTTGCTTCCAAACAGCGACATCGGTGAATAAATTCAAATACTTTTTAACTACCCTAAAACGCTCTAGATGTCGCTGCTCCTGTTTCCTTCATATTTTCATTTTTTTCTTAGTTAAAATATATTTGAGAATATTGTTAATTACAATGTAAAAACTTTTTTTAAATGAAATTAATTTGTTTTAATTTAAAACTGAACATTGACATTTTTGTTATAATTTACATAATAGAGTAGTAGAAATTACTATTTAACATAAGGCAACATTGTTTTTCCTCCAAAATGGCCGGTGTTGTTTTTGTTATGTTAAATGCATTCTTGTTTTCTTAGCCATCATTTAAGTTTTCTGTGGCCCTATTAAAGTATTGAAGAGTCGTCGAGTCAAATTCAAGTTCATTCCTTCGTACCTGCTGCTGTTCTGGTTCATCGGAGTTTTGTTCGTTCCTTCGTGAATCGCGAAGAAACTTTCTGTTATGTTCACAAGTGATCTGAGTTTTCTCAATGTGCAAATGCTTTTTTAGTGTTGTTGAAAACTTTGCGAAAAGACGCTTTTGGTGTATAATATTATGTGTGTTCATAAATAAAGTAAAATTGTTAAATTCAAAAGTTTTTGTTTACTTATTTGCATTTCCATGTGCAATGTAGAATTTTTCCAAATCCATCGTTTTGAAAATAATACAATACGTACACCATAAAGATAAATATTTTCAAAATAATGGATTTGAAAAAATTCTACATTGTACATCATAAAAACAATAATTCTTTGAAGGTTATGAGGGATATGTGTGCGTGAACTGTGTGTATGTGCGCGTGTACTATGTATGTATGTGAGCGTTACGTACGTAGGTTAAGTACAGGGAATTTAACACCAGGCTGTCAATTAGTAGGCTCAAAAATTTGACAGAGAGGGTTCTCTATTTCCTATGTATTACTTTTCTCAATGGATCATGCAACAGTGAGTGAATGAATGAACGAATGTATTCGTAAAGGGTGCGCCAAAGTTTACCTAAATTTTCAACTCCGAAAATTGGAAGTCCGAAAATGTTCTTCCTAAAATTTTTCATCCTAACAATCACAATTCCTAACTACTCTGTCTCTAATGTTCATAATTCCGAATCATTCAACTTCATAATGTCATTAGCAATAAACATCTATTATACTTTTATTTGTTCTCCTAGATTTTCTAAACATAACCATATTTTACACTATTATTCAAAGTCGTATCTTTTTTGTTTAGATTTCTTTCTTTGACGATATACAGTGTGAGTCACGTTAAAGTGTACATATGAAAATAGATGAAACTAGACCTATTTTTATCGACAAAAAAGAGGTCAAATTTTTTTTGAGATTTTTTTTTTAATTTTTTATAGAATTTTTTTCCTTCTAATTACTTATTGTAAAGAAAACGTAATAACTTTTAAACTAAGCGGTATATCCTGATAAAATNGTGACTATAGTCACTATCTATATATATAAAAGAAAGTCGTGTTAGTTACTTCGCTTATAACTCAAGAACGGCTGAACCGATTTAGCTGAAAATTGTCAGGGAGGTAGTTTAGAGCCAGGAGAAGGACATAGGATACTTTTTATCCCGTTCGACAGCATTCCCGTGTGACTTGACATGAAACGTCAGTCACTATAAAACGTGGCATAACAAAAAAGAATCAGACTTGAAATAACAAACCACGCGGGCGAAGCCGCGGGCGGAAAGCTAGTTAAAAATAAANTATTTATTATTATTCTATGGTATGAGTGAAAATATACTTAACATCAAATAAACCGCACCTTCCGCGACGCGAACTTTAACGATTTTCTTCTGACACAATCATGGTGCCCCAACAATATTGGTGTTATTTGAAAGCCCAATAAATATCCTTAATGAAAAACACATTTAATTTCTTAATAAATGATTAACATATACCATAAATGTGACTTGAAAAAATACCTCACTTTGGGCCCACCTATGGAATCAATTAGACCAATTTTTATGGTTATAAAACCAAATAATGATCTCACGTGTCCTCTTTAACAGATGGATAGCAATTAAACTCAACAGTTTTATAGCCATAAAACTTGGCTCTAGCGTAACTACCTATTTTTTGAAGAAGTGACTCTGGATCCTTCTAAAGACACATTTTTGGGGTAAAAACCTTTCCTTTAATGAAATGAAGATTAGAACTAGGCTTTTAAATGGTGCCAATATTGGTGGGAAGTGGGGATGCATACGTTTGAAAATGCTTGTCGCGGGAGCGAGGTGCGATTTATTTGACGTCGAGTGTATTATGGTAATGTTTAGGGATAAAAGTGTTATGATAAAAAACAGTAGGAGTTTAAATATATTTACATAAATGATATTATTAATTACAATTTTCGGAAAAATGAGTGTTATGAACATCGCCGGTAGCACTAAAAATAGTATGAATGAAAACTTTAGGATGAAAAAGTTTAGGAAGAGTGATCATTCGGATTTAAAATCGTTAGGAAGAACAATTTCGGGTAAATAACTTTAGGTGAGCCAATATGGACCCATTCGTAAATAGTGTTGTACGAGCATAGTATTTTAAAATTCACATATAAATACTGAGTGATAATATTTTATAGCACTGGCAACACAACCAACAAAAAAAAACTTGATTTTTGACATATATATTTTTAATCTGTAAAAGACGTGTTGGATGGACGTGTGGTAGAAGTGCATTTTGTAAAATCGTAAATTCTTTGAATGCATAAAACTGAAAAATGGCAGATTCTGAGGTAATAAAGGTCTTAATTTCTGTTGGAATGACCATTTATTGACTGGGCGCTCTATAACTCTCTTAAATTCTTTTCAGATACTGAAGAAATTGAAAGATATACCGTTTAGAATACAGACCGCAAGTTTGAAAGAAAGGCGTGCAGTTATTGAAGAAATACAGGATGTTTTATCAACACCAGGTAGCTGAAGTTATTAGCTGAAATGTTATTATGCTATTATTCGAAATATTTTCATATGTTTGTGCGTAAAAGCTGATATATTGGTACCGAAGGGGAGGGGGGTGTTGTCTAGCTTTATTGATCCATTACCTGGATATAACAGATTTCTAGATGCACTAGCTGTAACGATCGCTCATAGGAGCATCGAGTTCTCACTAAGGTGAGGCTATAACTTGAACCAGCTAGTACATGTAAAATATCAACTGCATGAAAAAGCAATTCTAACCTATAAACAGGTGTAAATATTTCGCAATATTATGTTAATACTAGCTTTTGCCCGCGGTTTCACCCGCGTGAAAGGACAATGTTCGTTCTACATACATTGTTCGCCTAAAGAACCAACAAATTTGACATATTACTACCCGAAAGCGAAATAAAACGATTCTGTGTGTAAGAACAATGATTCCTGATGGACACTTGCCATAAAATTAATGATTAAGAATATTAAATCACAGCGATTTTATAATATGTCGTTTATGACAACATGGCGTCTAATGTATTGTGTGAATGTATGAACACCGATTCGCGAAAAATGTTTTGTATTGTCGTCACGCCGAGTCGCAGCCAAATAGTATAAAATAATAGAACAAGTTTTAGAAATACAACTCGGCATTCCACTTTTACAATATGCCCACATATTGCACGTAAATAAACAACATGAATCGTAGGTTGTTTCCACCCTTGTCATCTGACACATGAAATAAACTCCTATTGTATTATAGATATCGAAGCCGAATCGTATATAATAATAGAATGGGTTTTGGAGATCACTCGGGGTTCCACTTTTATAAAATACCTACATATTACATAAAAATACCACGAATCATGAGTTTTCTTTTCACCATTTACATCTGACACGAGATAACAAACTCCTATCTCCATGACTACCATCGTAGTCTATGCCAAAGACTACAATATTTTAAGCAAGAAGTTTCAAACCTTAGCGGCTACGGTAACCCCTGGGCCACATACATCATGATAACATTCGGTCGACACCGGAACGAAGTCTTGCGATTATGCAAAAAAGCATCGTATTCTAGTGCGGCTATATCACGTTCAACCGGGGTTTTAATTCGACTAAAGTCCTGACTAAAGACTGGAAGAAAATACGCCGCATTGTATGAGCACTTCGTGTTCGTTAAAGCGGCTTCAGATCTAGAGCCCACATAGTTTTCTTTCCAATAATATCCGCAAGTAGCGCTGCATGATCTTTACAACAAAAACGGCAATAGTTATTAAGGTGCCAAAATTATATGATTACTTTGGCACGGTATTATACACGTTCGAAGATTTGTCATTTTCATTCATTTCTTCATCATCATCATCATTTCAGCCACAGGACGTCCACTACTGAACATAGGCCTCCCCCAATGACTTCCACATCGCACGGTTGGTAGCGGCCTGCATCCAGCGCCTTCCCGCTACCTTTATCAGGTCGTCGGTCCACCTTGTGGTGGGTTGACATTGCAGAATATGACTTTTGATAGGTTCATCATAGAATTCGGCGGGGATATCCTCACGGAGGAAGTTCGTAAAAGGGCGGAACAAGATCTTATAATAATGCAAGGCCGAAGCTGTTACGCGCGTGCTCCTACGTGTAATCCGGCGAGTATGCAATAAATAGTAATGTCTGGTAAATAGTGGTAATACGTATCGTTCGTTCGTTCGTTTCAGCCGAAAAGACGTCCACTGCTGGACAAAGGCCTCCCCCAAGGATTTCCACGAAGACCGATCCTGCACCGCTCGCATACAGGCACCTCCCGCGACCTTCACCAGATCGTCGGTCCACCTAGTGGGAGGCCTGCCCACGCTACGTCTTTCGGCTCGTGGTCGCCACTCAAGAACTTTCCTGCCCCAGCGGCCATCAGCTCTACGAGCTATGTGCCCCGCCCCGTCTATGTCTGTATGCGCTACGATTACAGGGTATCATTTTGCATAGTCGCAAGACTTCACTCCGCTGCTGTCAAATCAATGTCGCATAATGTTATCGCAATGTGTGTGGCCCTTGGCCAAATCACAGAAGCCTATGCGAAGAAAGAGCACTTGAATGACAATAAAAATCAGGGTTACCATTTTATAAGATTTCCTCACTATTGAGGGTAACAAAGTAACATTAATAATCTAGCCATTAATTACATTTATTACCTATACGAGAAAGTAAAGCAACATGCGGTTTTATTTTAATTTGTAAAATATTAAACCCCTCATATTTGTAACAGTTTGTTCCAAGTTTAGTTTTACTGTTTTGTTAACAGTATTGCTGTTTCAGCTGTCACTGTGAAGCTTTGGGAAAATAAATAAATAGAAAAAATATTAACATAAATATTTATTTAAGTTTTTATGTTCATTATCATAATATGCCAATTTAAGTTACACTGTGTGACAGTCTTTGACACTAAACAAACTCTTCAGCTTAATAATACCTACCTACAGGGCGTTTTTATAGTTACTCTTGCTGATGAAACAAGAAGGGTTGATTCTACTACTGAAATACAACTACTTTTCTTACAGGACCAATATCAAATTCTCAAAAAAATTCACATCCTCGTGATGGTGATAATTTCTATGGAGAGGTTTTTTTTTTATTCGGTCTCTTGGGATAAGTTATTCCATTTGAGCAGTAGAATTAATCCTTTTTATTCGATCACATATAAAAACAACACAAGTGTTTAGGAAAACTTCTTCTTTGGTATGGTATCACTACGGAGTTATAATGTCGGCAACTCTGTATCACTGACTTGTAACTTTCAAACAGCATGAATAATAAGGGCACCACATTGGTTTTCTTTCTGAAAAAAGGCTTTCAGTTTTAGTACTAACCCTTTAGCACTATTTCATTGAAATAAAAATACAATAAACGCACAGAAGACTGAAATTGAGTCAACTGACGTGACATTTATAATTTGTTGACATTATGACAGTTTGACAAGACTAGGGATTGAAAAAGTTTTAATTGAAAAAGTAAAATGACAATTTATTAAAACGATTCACATGGATATAATCGATTAAAAATATTTATAAAATGTTCTGATACTTGCCTGTAGCGATTATCCAATCCTGGTTTCTACTGAAAAACTACCTCGTGGCAAGATTTTAATAAAATAATAAAATCTTTATCTTCTCTTTCACAATCTATAAAAGTTCATTTGGTCTATTATTATACATGTGCTATGAATGAGGGTTTTCGCGATTGAAAAATCCGCGAGATGGCAATACGTAGACGCGAGGTCCAAATGCTGCATGATTGGTGGATATCTGTCAATGTCATGTCAAAAATAACCAATCATGCAGCATTTGGACCTCACGTCTACGTATTGCCATCTGGCGGATTTTTCAATCGCGAAAACCCTCATTGGCATAGATTATGAGAGACTGGCAACTATACTAGGTTGATATCAGGTGATCCGTCTGCTCATTTGCCTCCTGTCACATAAAAAAAAAATATATATGTTTCTCACACTTCAACTGGCATTGGATTCAACATCGGATTCTGACACTTTTACAGTTATGATACCATGAATATCAGTTTATGGTCCTAATTATTTTTATTTTATTTACGACCTTCGACCAGTTGGACACTTTAGATATCTTCTTGTAATAGTGTCAAACTGTCAATATCTTTTTAGCTTTTAACGCAAATCTAGTCTTCAAAGCAGTTTAATCGATTTATTTTATTTTCAAAATCGATATTTTATTGTCTATGATGGCCGCAGGAACATCACTATACATGGACTCCCAGCAATAAAGTACGGTAATGCCTCGTACAGATTTTATCGGCAAAAATTATGGAACTTGATAGGTTTTAGACCATGCCACGCACCAAAACGTCCGGAAGTTGTAATAGTATTATAGAATAAACGTTAAAAGACTTATTTATTTAATTTTTCAATGCTTAAGTGTCCATTAGAATGAAAGGGTGCTTAATGTATTAAAAAAAATAGAAAATAATTATGATGGGTTAATGTTTTTGGGCGGTTTTTTAGGCGGTTTCTGACAATGTCCTTTAGTAGGTATGTCACAGATCGTCATAAATTATAGCCTATATGTTAATCTGGGTTATAAACCGTAATACTGTAAAGTTTCAACAAAATCCGTTCAGTAGTTTTTGCGTGAAAAAGTAACAAACATCCAGACATCCAGACATCCAAACATCCAGACATCATGACATCCAAACTTTCGCATTTATAATATTAGTAGGATGATTAGAGCAAAATAGCATTGAGATTCATTAAACCACACACTCCATTTACATGTAGAAAAAATATTTTTAAATCTTTGTACTAAGTAAATTATTCTTAGTACACAGCAATATTATTACATACTACAGAACATAAACTAAAATATTTTTGTGTTAAAAAGTGTAAATAAGTACGTACATTATACTATAACAACATTGTTACACAGGAATCACAGAGCCAGCAGTGCGTTTTGTGTGCCGCGTAGTGGTCTCGACCCTGCACCGGTATCGGGACTCTACATCCCAGTCATATGTAAAGGGCCTGCTGGCATACCTTGCTGTAAACCACCGTGAGTGGGTGCTGCGAAATTTGCTGCCACTCCTGCTCGATACATCTGAGCAGCTTCGCAATACTGCAACATCGTAAGTGCAATCATCAATAAATAATAATATTAAATTTCCAAAATTCTAATATCTTAATAGTTTCTGCTAAATCAGCTTAAATTCAAATTCAAATATTTATTTGCACAATTAGGGATAATTTAGTACTGTGAATGAATTATTTGTATGTACAAATTATTGAGACACAATTAGCATGAAAATATATTTTGTTTGTATTTAATTAAATAAAAAAAATTACTTGAACCAAGCATGAATATGTTGAGCATATTTTTACAGTAAGAACATATGTCAGAGTGGACTCTATGCACTGCGATGGTCAACCATAATAGTGGATGGTACTCTGAAGGGCACTGAAGAAGATGTAGTGGACTACACCTCCCTTGTGCTGACACAAGCCAACCTGCTGGCTGTGGTCACCGCATATGGGGACAGCAAAAGGAATGACAAAGCCTATTCTATGGTAGGTTTTCTTTTAGAAAATATAAATAAATATTATAGCTTTTTAGTTGTTTGAAGGAAATCATTTTGGAAGAATTAAATAAAATACATAGTCAGACATTATACAATGAGATTTAACTAGTTAATGGAGGGTAGTTATTTGTTTTCCTGTAGCCTGACATGCTAGGTTGGGTACTAGACCATTCTGTGCATTATGTTTCCTAAGTTACTTTCATATGGCCCTAAAGCAAAATATGATGGACCTTTATTGTAATAGTTTAAGACCTTATATCACTGTACCATATTTCAAGAAATAAATAATTTGAATTTAAGCAAATAGAACACAAAATAAAACTTGTCTACAGTTGCACGCGTCATGGACCGCCATCGGTCCGGAAAAGCTGTCCAAGTGGACGGACGTGCTGATCGCGCAGCCGGCAGACGCGGGCGCGCACGTGTGCGTGACTCTGGCCGCGCTCTGCCGCCATGCTGCCGATGAAGGCCACGAGGAAGATATCGCGAAACACAAGGTTTATAAAGAAAATATTATTGTTAGCACATAACTGGGGAGCTGGCGCAGAAAAGTTCTTAAGTGGCAACTATGAACTGCAGTGTAAGCAGGCCTCGTCCACCTGCCAGATGCCGGCCAGGACCGGTCGTTGTGGAAGTCCTTGGGTAGGCCTTTGACAAGCAAAGGACATCCTTTGTCTGAAACGACGATATTTCTAATGCTGATTTATTGTGTCTATTTGCAATGGCTTTTTATCTACCAATAAAATCAACTTCTCTTGTCACAGCCAAAAATGCTGGAGTGCTTCACAAAGAGCCTGATCAGCGTCAAAACCCGGCCGAACGCCAACTACATCCGCGGCTGCGGCGCGTTACTCCAACTGCTGGACCGGACGGAGGTGCACGAGGCGCTGCTGCCGGCGCTGCAGAAGGCCATGCTGCGGAGTCCCGAGACCATCGTGCAGGCAGTCGGTGAAGTGCTGGATAACCTGCAGATATCCTTGGATGGCCCAGCTGTGGATATTGCTAAGAGCTTGATTGGTGAGCGAATAACTCAGTTATTCACATACGCGTCAATATGAGAAGGACGTGTTCTAGAGATTAGGATTTGGGATTGATGAATTTCAATAATCCGTAAAAAGATCGATTTGATGGCAGAAGATTTTGTGGAACGTTCCTTGATGATACCAATTAATAGTCGCATAAGAGATAGTCGTGCCATTCATTCTGGCCATTTGCAAACAAAAATCTGACTGCGGTTGCTCCTTAATTTATGTGAGGATGCAGTGTAGATATTGACTAGTAAGCTTTCAAGAAACCTATATCTTTAGAACAGACATTTGCGACATTAGCAATGACAAGCAAGCAGTTCTAGGCCTCTATTTATTTATTTTATTGTCTCTGAATATGACGTATGTTTCTCGGCAGCGAACCTGTGCTCAAAAGACGAGTGGGTGCGCTTGTCAGCGCAAGAAGCGCTGCGGCGGCTGGCGCGGCGCTGCGGACAGCGGGCGGCGGCGCGCGCGGCGCTGGCGCACGCCTTNTGCAATCCGAATGAATGCACGATGTAGGTAATACCGCTTACTGTCGTAGCCCATTCATTTTTTTTTGTTTACACTGCCGGGTTGCACTATAACATTTACCCCTTTATAGTCCTAATACAGGTGGTGTTGCTATGCAGAACAGTGTTGGAAAAATACTCAGTAGTGGCTGAAGAGAAGGATTCTCCTGTGTATAGAGCATTTATACTAGTCTTACTATCGCCAATCAAGTCAGTCCGCGACGCGGCCGTAGAACAAGCCAGATCATTACTAGCAAATCAAGAAAGAGCCCTATTGGCTAGGTATTTAGTGTTAAAATTAAATGAAATTTTGGAGGAAGGAAAGATATTCGTTTCCAAAGAGAAATCACCCCCAGAAGAGAAGGGAACAGATGTTACAGGGAAGATGATATTAGATTGTGTTCAAGCGTTGTGTTCATATAAAGGTAAGAACTGTTTGAATCTTTTAATGTCATATGAATCACTTGTTAGGCACGTGACTGAAGGGAACGTTGCTTTTCAGATTACTCAAAGGAAGACACGGAAAGTCTGGCTCTCGACATTCTACCGTCCTGCCACCACCCTCTAGTCGTGGCCATAAGCAAGCGGGCGTGGCAAAAGGTTTGCGTGTATCTACGCCTGGATCCCGAAGTACTAGTTGACACACATTCTAAGAAATTGATTAATTTATATGTGACCGGATATACTCCTACCGAGGTAAGCTACCTAGTTTGTGACTTTCTTAATTACATTCAACCAGTTGCTTTGTGAGATTTATGGATATCAGTTATGATGATGAAAGATATGCCAGGAGCAAAATATTTACGGTAGTTTGTGCAATGAGAGCATTGCCAGGGCATAGTGTCTCGCATCTAGTTGTAAATAAGATGGTTATCCTTCTTTTTCCAAACAAACGTCTCAAAATAGATGAGTACTATAGTCTATCCAATATAGCTTGATTAGAATGACAGCTGTCATCAAAAGTAACGACATAACTTTGTAGTAGCGATCAATGAGAGCAAAATATTGGCGGACAAGAAATAATTCACGTCTGACCTACAAACAATATTTTCGACGACAGTGCTTCCAATAAAAATGATAATTTCGTGTAAATGCAGCGTTAAATTACACCAATAAGTAGTAATTCGAAATTATAAAAATCAAGCTAGAGTATTAACGACGTCTCTACAAGGTTATCTCGAGTTACAAAAATGTTAGTGTTGGGACATATCGACAAATGTCATATTAAATTAAAACTATTTTTTTAACATACAGTGTGAGCAAATGTTGTGATAGGGATAGAGACATGCGATTTTTGGTTTTACAAAGATAATACGATAGAAAATAATAAAAAGTAATAAAAACCACCTGTTATAGGGGCATTTTTTGGAGAAATTTATCAAATAACCAAAAAAACACGAATTTAAAAGCAGATTTTTTTCAAAAAGTAATTTTTTTTATTATTTGTTGGCATTTTTTGTGTATTTTATGTATTTTTTTAGTATCGCCTGTTATTTAGCATTATAACTACTTTTATTTTATCAGGATATACCGCTTAGTTTAAAAGTTATTACGTTTTCTTTACAATAAGTAATTGGAAGAAAAAAAATTCTATAAAAAATAAAAAAATAAATCTAAAAAAAAATTTGACCTCTTTTTTGCCGATAAAAATAGGTCTAGTTTTATCTATTTTCATATGTACACTTTAACGTGACTCACACTGTATTTAACAATTTTTTTTCTAACTCATTTTTTAACATATTTAAGTCAAGTTATGCGTTTTTCTAAATGTTCACTATTAAAAACCAAAAAACANTGCCCCCAGATAATGAAAAATTGGTGAGTACACAAATAGTGAATCAATGGGTAGGTGAGTGTCACAATGAATGGTTAATGTAATGAGTGAGTGAGCAAGTGAATAGTGAAGGATTGAGTGAGAAAGTGAATAATGAAGTACTGAGTGAGTAAGAAAGTGAATGGTGAATGATTTGGTGACAGAGTGAATGATGAATGATTTGGTGACAGAGTGAATGATGAATGAGTGAGTGAAATAAAGAGATGAAAGAATGGTGAACCACTGAGATTAAATGAACACATAATAACTAACCTGCGGAGTCAGAAAGATAGTCTGGAAGTGTTTGGTGTGTCCCGGAGTCTTGGAAACTGAGACGACCTTGCGTCCCATGATCGCGTTCATCAGGGACGACTTCCCAACGTTGGGCTGTCCCACGCAGCCGATGGTAAGAACCCCATTCTTGTACCGTTCGTGCGTGTAGAACGATGTGTCGGCTTTTTCAAGTATTGTCTCGCCTATGGACAGTGACAAATATTATTCAAATACTCGTACAATAAAAATCGTAATTGTAACCCCTGGGGGGTAGCGCGTTTTCNGCTAGACTATTTTGTTTTCAGCTCCCATTGAGGCTGACTGAAGTGATAGAAATTTGCACTCACCAGGATAGTGCCACTGAAAAGTAAGGTATTGTCAATTGCGCAGTGGTGCTAACCGTTAAGTATCAAAATGATAGCCATTCAATATTTTGGAAATGATGAGATCCGTAGGAGAACCAGATAGACTGACATAGCCCGCAGAATCACTAAAACCAAGTGGCAGTGGGCGGGGCACATAGCTCGTAGAGCTGATGGCCGCTGGGGCAGGAAAGTTCTTGAGTGGCGACCACGAGCCGGAAGACGTAGCGTGGGCAGGCCTCCCACTAGGTGGACCGACGATCTGGTGAAGGTCGCGGGAGGTGCCTGGATGCGAGCGGCACAGGACCGGTCTTTGTGGAAATCCTTGGGGGAGGCCTTTGTCCAGCAGTGGACGTCTTTCGGCTGAAACGACGACAGTATTTTGTACTTATTTATTTTATGATTATGATCTCTTTTTTGTAGGGCGTGGCCATCCTCAGCTCGCTGAACGTGTCGGCCGAAGACCGCGCGGCGCTGTTCGCGGAGGTGCTGGCGCAGACGGCGCGCGTGCTGGAGGGCGAGTCGCACGAGCGCACGCTGCTGGGCGCGCTGCACGCGCTGCGCGCCTGGCTGCCCGCGCTCGACGCCACGCTGCCCGACAAGCTGCTCGACATGTTCAAGGTACGCTCGGGGAGACCTTATCTAGGAGAGACTACTGCAGTGGCTAGATGAAAGCTGGAGACCATGATGATTAACGCTCTTTGGGAAGGCAAAACTTGTGTGAATTTTCGCGTTTGGAACATCCACGGCAGAGAATTCCATTCCTAATACGAGTATGAATTTCATATACCTACATAAATAAAATTATGCATTCATACATAGTTTGCGTTAGTAGGCGTACTCCACACTAGGATCTTTCGAACGTCGCCGTATCGCCAGCGCCTACGCAGCGTCGATGCAAACGCTGAACACAACGGGATGCGTGACTTGAAAAAAAAGGTGATAATTGTTTTATTTATTTATTTATTTATTAGGTCTACCAACATTGTTACATAACAACATGTACACTTAAAAATAACAATTATGAACAAAGTTACAATGCAACAACAATTATAGGCTGGCACAACATGCCAATATAAATTTAATGCAGTTTGTTCTGAACGGTTCCATGCACACATATCAGACATTTAATCATATCAATAATTTTACACAATGTATTCTGAGATATTGAATTTCCTTTCACAGAAGAACTTATCGGCCAAGAACACGACGCAGACGGTGCGCATCGCGTACATGTCGCTGGTAGCCGCGGGCGTGCGAGCATGCGGCGTGTCGCAGCCGCAGCGCGACGGCCTGCTGCCCGCGCTGGCCCAGGCTGTGGAGCGCGCCGCCCAACAACCATTGCAGGTGGGAATTCCTTCGTTTCAGCCAAATGACGTCCACTGCTGGACAAAGGCTGTGGCGACACCGACGATACGCCACTACAAACTGTGTACCAACAGATGGCGCTGTCACTACTACACTATGGCACACTCCGCCGCTCATACAAACCTGCATCGCGGTGACGGAGTTTTATATCCTGCCAAGTATTATAGACAAACCAAGATGGTGTAAATTGGACCTTGGTCCCCGAGCACAACACCCGCTCGGAACGAAGCACTAACATCTAGCTTCCTTATTGTGGTTGAGCATCATATCCCACAAGGCCTTCCCCATGGATTTCCATTATAACAAGTCCTAGCGCCGCCCGCATCCAGGCACCTCCCGCACTCCTCACCAGATCGTCAGTGGGAGGCCTGCCCCCATTAGATACGTCTTCCCGGCTGTGGTCATTCGAGAACTTTTCAGTGGTAGTGGGCGGTGCACATGGCTCGCAGAGAATTACAAGGTTTAAAAAAAGCTATGTCCGAACAGGAAAGGGGCGGTTCGGCTCAATCACAAAATCTTTTGAGCGGGAATCAATGTCGCAATCTCATAAAATTAATTCACTTCTCCCTACAAACTACCGATCAATCAACAAGGACTCCCGCTTCGTGCAAATGTACAGATATTTTTATGAACAACCGATACACAAACGCCTGCGCAGCTGCGAACATTTATTTAACAAATTGGACGCTCTCAATCAAGGTCACCCTTCAAAAGCGTCTTAGTGAAAAAAATAATGTTGCGCTGTAAATTTTTATAACAAAATAAGTTACATAAACATTAAAATATTCAAAAACAATTGAATCTGACAGTATGTTTACTTCCCCAGCACCTAGTAGTATGCGAAGGCATCGCGGCCATGCTGGCTCTAGTCTTACTGGACACGGCGCGCACGCTGCCGGGCGCGAGCACGTGGGCGGCGCTGGCGCACGCGTCCAAGCACGTGCTGCTGCACGAGCGCGCGCTGGCCGCCGCGCCCGACGACGGTAACCACCTACTCGCTTCAGACTTAGTTCATTGTCATGCGGTGTTTGTTCCGTTTATGTTCATCTCCCCCTTTTTCACTTGTTATTTAGGATGTCAGTTTGCAATCGCTTTCTTAAATTTTTATCGACTATTGTCCACCATCTATTAAAAACAGAGCTACGGAGCTATAAATAAATCTAATCAAATAGAAAGTTTTAAACAGTTTTAAATTTTTTATTCTAATCATCTATGCGTTTATAGATTCGATTCTATATTCCACAACTAATATGGCATAGATATTTTGCGAATGCACTTGGTCAAATTGTAAAGTAATTTTATTACTGTCCCTCTTCGTCTGAATTAGTTATCGCCATGTTTATATCATTTATTTTTCTTCGTCGATACTTGTCTTTTGTTACGGTATTAACATCTGTGTAAATTAACTGTCTTATTTTGATATACTTATTTGCCTGAATGTTATTGATGCAATCCGAATGAATGCACGATGTAGGTAATACCGCTTACTGTCGTAGCCCATTCATTTTTTTTTGTTTACACTGCCGGGTTGCACTATAACATTTACCCCTTTATAGTCCTAATACAGGTGGTGTTGCTATGCAGAACAGTGTTGGAAAAATACTCAGTAGTGGCTGAAGAGAAGGATTCTCCTGTGTATAGAGCATTTATACTAGTCTTACTATCGCCAATCAAGTCAGTCCGCGACGCGGCCGTAGAACAAGCCAGATCATTACTAGCAAATCAAGAAAGAGCCCTATTGGCTAGGTATTTAGTGTTAAAATTAAATGAAATTTTGGAGGAAGGAAAGATATTCGTTTCCAAAGAGAAATCACCCCCAGAAGAGAAGGGAACAGATGTTACAGGGAAGATGATATTAGATTGTGTTCAAGCGTTGTGTTCATATAAAGGTAAGAACTGTTTGAATCTTTTAATGTCATATGAATCACTTGTTAGGCACGTGACTGAAGGGAACGTTGCTTTTCAGATTACTCAAAGGAAGACACGGAAAGTCTGGCTCTCGACATTCTACCGTCCTGCCACCACCCTCTAGTCGTGGCCATAAGCAAGCGGGCGTGGCAAAAGGTTTGCGTGTATCTACGCCTGGATCCCGAAGTACTAGTTGACACACATTCTAAGAAATTGATTAATTTATATGTGACCGGATATACTCCTACCGAGGTAAGCTACCTAGTTTGTGACTTTCTTAATTACATTCAACCAGTTGCTTTGTGAGATTTATGGATATCAGTTATGATGATGAAAGATATGCCAGGAGCAAAATATTTACGGTAGTTTGTGCAATGAGAGCATTGCCAGGGCATAGTGTCTCGCATCTAGTTGTAAATAAGATGGTTATCCTTCTTTTTCCAAACAAACGTCTCAAAATAGATGAGTACTATAGTCTATCCAATATAGCTTGATTAGAATGACAGCTGTCATCAAAAGTAACGACATAACTTTGTAGTAGCGATCAATGAGAGCAAAATATTGGCGGACAAGAAATAATTCACGTCTGACCTACAAACAATATTTTCGACGACAGTGCTTCCAATAAAAATGATAATTTCGTGTAAATGCAGCGTTAAATTACACCAATAAGTAGTAATTCGAAATTATAAAAATCAAGCTAGAGTATTAACGACGTCTCTACAAGGTTATCTCGAGTTACAAAAATGTTAGTGTTGGGACATATCGACAAATGTCATATTAAATTAAAACTATTTTTTTAACATACAGTGTGAGCAAATGTTGTGATAGGGATAGAGACATGCGATTTTTGGTTTTACAAAGATAATACGATAGAAAATAATAAAAAGTAATAAAAACCACCTGTTATAGGGGCATTTTTTGGAGAAATTTATCAAATAACCAAAAAAACACGAATTTAAAAGCAGATTTTTTTCAAAAAGTAATTTTTTTTATTATTTGTTGGCATTTTTTGTGTATTTTATGTATTTTTTTAGTATCGCCTGTTATTTAGCATTATAACTACTTTTATTTTATCAGGATATACCGCTTAGTTTAAAAGTTATTACGTTTTCTTTACAATAAGTAATTGGAAGAAAAAAAATTCTATAAAAAATAAAAAAATAAATCTAAAAAAAAATTTGACCTCTTTTTTGCCGATAAAAATAGGTCTAGTTTTATCTATTTTCATATGTACACTTTAACGTGACTCACACTGTATTTAACAATTTTTTTTCTAACTCATTTTTTAACATATTTAAGTCAAGTTATGCGTTTTTCTAAATGTTCACTATTAAAAACCAAAAAACATTTCATTCTTAAATAATCAAACATCGGAAATCAATCACCGGTAATTTTTTGGGTATTCATAGCACCGTTGCTCTAGAAGAGATGCCCACCGCCCTCTAGCGAGAGGAAAAAACCACTGAAGAACACTGATGATAATGACTACGACTTAGGTTGTACACCCTTGACATGAATTTTAAATTTTACTGTCTTTAAATTTAAATCATAATTGTAATTTTTATGAATAAAGATATATGAAGAAAAATTGGGTGCATTTTTTCATATCATTTTTCGAAAACTTATCGATACATCTATGTGAACCGTACGAAACATACCCATCACTAGTCACATTCGTTTGACAGCCGTCATTCTAATCAAGCTATATTGGATAGACTATAATAACCTTTTTTTTGCAGACGATGTCAAATCTAGTGACCACGCTAGTCCGCACAAACGCGGAGGCCATAGCGGGCGACGCGCTACAGGTGGCGCTAGACGCGCTAGTGGACCCAGAGTTGTTGCGCGTCACGAGGGTGGAATATTTCACCTACCTCACGCCCGACGGGGAGCTCTACGACAAGAGCTCTGTGCCTGGGTAAGTAATGTTTTTAAGGGACTCCCCCGTACTTTAGTCCCGGCGTTCTCGGTAATTTGGGGGACTGTACTGTACTTTTAGTTCTCTGTGTGCGTTATTCGATACAGTTTGATCAATATTGATGGACATAAAAGTACCTCGTAGATACTTCTTCGTTTGCGCAGATCTTTATTCCACACTTTCTAATAAAATATCTGTCACATGACATGTTTTTTGTAAATCTCAGATGTCACAAAACAGAGCAAAGTTGATTGTTACTTCATGTTTCAGTAATGACGACAACAAAGAGATGAACCTAAAGCGCGAAAGCAAAGCGTACAGCTACAAGGAGCAGTTAGAAGAATTACAGCTGCGACGCGAACTTGAAGAGAAGATGCGCAAGCAGGGCAAGACCAAGGAGGCGCCGCTCACCGCTAAGCAGAAGGAAGCCATCAAGGCGCAGCTCGCCAAGGAGAGCGTCATCCGACAGAAGCTCAGCGCGGTAAGATGATGTCCACATCACTTGTACAGCTACAAGGAGCAGTTACAGGAGCTGTAGCTGCAACAAGTTCTGTATTTTTAGGGAGAAATAGGTGATGTAATGCGCCAATCATAACATCAAAACTATGATGGAGCTGGAAACATAGATTTTTTGGATAGATCTAGTTTATTCTGTAACCTATTATTTATACCGTCTGAAATGGACCTTGTGAAACACTTTTAACATTAGGATCAATAACCAGTTTTTCGATATCTAGTTTAGAAACAATCAAGTGAGATCACTTATTGTTTCTACCCTGTATAATAAATTGAGTGTCATATCAATGCCATAGGCTGGTTTTAGTGTCACGCGGACTGTTAGTCCGCACAGCCGATCTGTATGAACTGCTAGGGAGCGGAGCGGTTCCTCCGGACCGCATTACTTTAAAACGCCCCCCAGAAGTTCATACAGATTGGCCGTGCGGAGCGGGTCCGCACCGGACGGTCCGCGTGACACTAAAACCAGCCTTAGTTCTTTCATAAAATAAAATTAAAATTGACTTTCGTCTCTTTTGCAGCTAAACGCACGCGTGGTGGTAGCGGCGGAGCTGTTAGAAGCAGTGCGTGCAGGCAGCGCTTTGGCACTGGCCGCGCGCGCGCGCCTTTTGGTGTGGGCGCTGATAGGCGCGTTGCGCTCGCCGCTGGCCGCGCCGCGCCTTCTATCTGCGCTGTGTGCGCTGCGCCCCGCGTTGCTGCCCAGACATACTGTTGTGGGAGACACGGTCGCCAGGTTCACTATCAGGTATGGTAAAACACGATAACGGTGATAAGAAGTTACTGTCACCGTAGCGGCCTTTCAGTCATGTGTGTCTTTGAAGAGTGGACGCGTCGTGGGCTGGTGGTTTCGTCGAGATAGTAGACACCGAATTGATTTACTTATGTATTGTATTCATCATAGCCTATAAAATAATATGAAGTCCCATCAAATGTTGGCTAAAGAAAGTAATTGAAAAACACCCAATAATTTGTTAACAAACCAGAATACAATACAGATTCATAAATCTTCATTCTTGACGAAATGAGAAAACTATCTGGAAGAATACATGAATAGCTGACCTTTAAGGCTAAAATACTCGTTTCTCTTTCAGACTACACAATCCCCAATGCGACTTAGACCCGAGCTGGGAGGAGGAGGACCTAGACAAGGGCACCATCCGCGCCATCAACCTAGTCCACTCAGTGACGGCGGGCGTCAAGGTGTCGGACGACGAGGATGCGCCGCCGCTCGAAAACTACTTCACCGCGCCTGGCTTTTGCTATGTGTTCCCGTTGCTCAAGCAAGGTACGTGGTCTACACGACCTTAGACAAGGGCACAATCCGCGCCGTCAACCTGGTGCACTCGGTGACGGCGGGCGTCAAGGTGTCGGACGACGAGGACGCGCCGCCGCCAGACAACTACTTCACCGCGCCTGGCTTCTGCTACGTGTTCCCGTTGCTCAAGCAAGGTACGTGGTCTACACGACCTCCAATATGACTTAGACAAGGGTACCATCCGCGCCATCAACCTGGTGCACTCGGTGACGGCGGGCGTCAAGGTGTCGGACGACGAGGACGCGTCGCCGCCCGAAAACTACTTCACCGTGCCTGGCTTCTGCTATGTGTTCCCGTTGCTCAAGCAAGGTACGTGGTCTACACAACCCCTAATGTGACTTAGACCCGAGCTGGGAGGAGGAGGACCTAGACAAGGGCACCATCCGCGCCATCAACCTGGTGCACTCGGTGACGGCGGGCGTCAAGGTGTCGGACGACGAGGACGCGCCGCCGCCAGACAACTACTTCACCGCGCCCGGCTTCTGCTACGTGTTCCCGTTGCTCAAGCAAGGTACGTGGTCTACACGACCTCCAGTATGACTTAGACAAGGGCACAATCCGCGCCATCAACCTGTTGCATTCGGTAAGGGCGGCATTAAGGCCGTTTTTAAACTTGTCAGTTGGCACCACTGGCGAGTGACCGGACGTTACACTACAATGTCACTAACGGGTCATCGATAAAACGATAGACCCTCATTGGCTTTTCGGAGTCAATTAAATTAAAAACTGCATCATTTGTCTATTTTTCATTTAATCTTCATCTTATCCGGATCATGCACTGGACCTGTTGATTTCAGAAATAAAAGTTTCGTTTTAGTGGCAATTTTTTTAAAGTTCTCCTTTAGGATTGGTAAAGCCCGGTCAGAGCAATATAATTACGCGCGAGCGATAAGGATGGGTAGCTAGGGGTCATTGGACAAAATTCTACGTGCTCACAGACCAGACTATAGCTTTATTTCGTACAATCGACACTACGCGCCTCGTAATACAGTTGTAACTTGCTCGCAGGGCTAACGCGCACGGCGACGCGCGCCGACGAGGCCGCCATGATCAGCGGGCTGGGCGTGATCGCGCACCACGCCGCGCTGCGCGAGAGTGCCGACCCCATGCTGAGGCCCGAGCTCTTCCCCATCGACCACATGTTCCGGCTGCTGATAGATCTGATCAGTAAGTGGTTTTTTCTGACTATTTTATTTCAATTTTCTTCATTAAATAATAAATATCCTTGGACATTTTACACTGCGCCGCTAGCCCCAAACTAAGCAAAGCTTGTACTATTGGCACAGAATAATAATAAGTACTACGTACAGAAGTTTTACTTCGCGAAGGTATTTAAAAAATGTATGCTCAATGTCATTAACAATATGGTGTAATTTAACCTGTCTCAAGAATCAAGCATCATTTTGTTGACAAACGTCAGTGATCGGCACTACGCCGAAGCTATAGGGCTGACTTCGGTAAAATGATGTGACGTGAGGTGCCAAACTGCGGAAAATGGCGGAGGAAATGCATGATTTAGCATGAATTATCATGAATAATATTAACTACTTATTTACCTTTTAGTGTCTTGAGGCAACTTAAAAAAGTACATTCTGTGTTTTTGTCATTATTTAGGCAGTTAAGTACTGCACAGTATTTAGTACACCATTTTCTTTATTTATTTTTTTCTTTATTTCTTCAAGAATACGCGTGCGTGAGTCAATGTTCGCTCGTATGTGAGGCCTTGTGGAATAGTATCCTGTAGGTGGGCCATCGTGCGTGTTTTGTTTTCGATGTAAACTCGCGGAGATGAACAGGCCTGCTATTGGTACTAGACAACGGGTATAAACAGACATACTATAATACTTTTTTTTTTGTAAATATATACTATAGGTAAGTATACTATAGGAAAACACCCAGACCCGTCACAGAAATTAAAATTCATCATTTCAATTTCTGTTGGGAAATCGGGACCTCTCGGCATGGTAGTCCGTTCTAAACCACTACACCAAACGGCTGACATATCACGTCAAATATCAAAATTGCATATACTCAATCATTTTTTTTTTGACAGCCGTATACATGGGAATCAAAAAAGGCTATATGACACATTACAGATCATTATGCCTTGTTCATAATTATTACTACCTCAGTTTACTGACATCTACCGTAAGTCTCGCTAGCAGAACATTCCTCGGTAACATTTGAAGGCCTTCCATCCAAAGTTCTGTTTCATTTAGGACTAAATGGTGTAGTGAATATTAATTGATGAACTTTATGCAGGTAATAGCTCCGGGCGCGTGCAGACAGCGTGTACGGTGGCGCTGTTAGAGACAGCGCGTTGTGCGGCGCGCGGCGGCCTCACCACCGACGACGTGTCTTGCTTGCTAGCCGGCCTGCAGAACCCGCTCGATGTAAGTGCGCGCCACTTGGAAATAATTTGATTTATTTCCAAAAAGGGCTTTATGTATTTCATCTTCGTCATCATTATTTCAGCCACAGGAACTGCTGAACATAGGCCTCCCCCAATGACTTCCACATCGCACGGTTGGTAGCGGCCTGCATTTATGTATTTATTTCACTTAAATTACTTTTGCTGCAAATGAAAAATCGACAGTTCAAAATGGAATCTGACCCACAGAATATAAGTTTATTTTATTATTACTACAGACACGATTTTATCTTATAGACTTGCAGATTTATAGATATACTAGCGGCCGCCCGCGACTTCGTACGCGTGGATCCCGTTTTACCCCCTTAGGGGTGGAGTTTCATAAAATCCTTTCTGAGCGGATGCTTACGTCATAACATCTACCTGCATGCTAAATTTCAGCCCGATCCGTCCAGTGGTTTGGGCTGTGCGTTGATAGATCACTATGTCAGTGAGTCAATCAGTCAGTCAGTCATCTTTGAGTTTATTTAGTTTTACATTTTCGCGAACCTGTACTAAGTGCGTATAATTTGTATAAAAATTTGCCGCTTGACGCATAAGTCTGCGCACGCGTCTATCGTCTACCTTGTTTGCGCGTTATGTCTTTTACGCACTCCGCTTCCCGCGGACTGAGGCCCTAAGGCCCAGAACACACGGTCAAACGCAATTGCAACGACACTGCAACTTCTAGTTACTTTTGAGTTGCTGCCATAGATTCCGTTCAACTAGAAGTTGCAGTTTCGTTGTAATGAGGGCTATCGTTTTAGCGCTCACCAGTTACCGCCACTGTAGAGTAAGGTCCTGTCACTTGCTAGTAGCGAAGACAGTGGCACCAACTGGTGAGCGCTAAAGTGGTAGGAGGACTATCGCATTTGCACTCATCAAGATGGCGCCACTGTAGAGTAAGGTCCTGTCAATCGCCAGGGGTGCCAACTGTTAAGTATAAAAACGATAGCCCTCATTGCTTTTCACCGTGTGTTCTGGGTTCAAGCCACACCCGCTCACGAACACTTGTCCAGACTCCCTCTGAACATTAGCGTGACTCGCGCAGGTGGTGCGTGACGCGGCGCTTCGAGCGCTGATGTGCGTGCAGGACCGGCTGCCGGGCATGCTGGCGGACGAGGCGTACGCGCTGCCGCTCACCAAGCGCCTGCTCATCGCCACCTTCGACATCGCGCCCGACAACAAGTCAGTTCATTCACTTCACTGGCCTGTCTAGAATAAATTCACTGGCCTGTCTAGAGTAAATAATAATATGTAGCAGTTTCATGCTATTATTATTTACTAGCTTTCCGCCCGCGGCTTCGCCCGCGTGGAATTTTGTCTGTCACAGAAAAAGAATATCGCACGCGTATTTGCTCACCGTTTAGACCTACCCTGGACTACGACAAACATTTTAAAACCAAAATCAGCTCAATCGGCCCAGCCGTTCTCGAGTTTTAATCAGACTAACGAACATAGATTAGAACTATAGATTCTAGACAGGCCAGGTCAGCTGTTCCAACCTGACGGGTGTTCGGTCGGCAGGTGCAACAGCGTCCTGACTTCTCCTATGCAGGAGGAGGCGGGAGCCTTATACTGTGTTTTTCTAGTTTTTTAGATATCCAATTTTAGATAGTAAGACACAAATACATTGTACCTAAAGTTGACATTGTCAACGTGAAATTGTGAACTCTGTCAGTTTATAATATGACGCGTTATATTGTAAACTAACAGTGGGTTAGGTAAGGTTAGATTGTAATTTAACTACGTCAAATTATAATCTGACGGAATTCACAATTTTACGGTGACATATCTAATGAAGCGTCATTGTCATCTTGACAAAGCTCCTTAAATAAAGATAAAAAATTTTTTTGGAAAATCCGTGGCTTCCTTTCATTGGCCCTAAAGAACACCGTCGGGTTATAGTGGGAAAGTCCTACATAATGCGCAAGGCATTTGTCAGCGGAAAGAGAAGTATATTCACAACTATTATATTATGGACTTTTCAGCTGGCCGAGGAAAATTGTGCACTTATTCAGCTTATTGTATACAGAAAACTAGCCGAAGAGCTCTGGGAGAGGCTGCCTCTCGCCCAGCAGTGGAGCCAGGAGCCGGACCTAGTGGAGCTGGTGCTGGATGACGTCACGCACCCCGCGGAGCCGGTGCAGCGCGCGGCGGCGCTGGCGCTGGCGCACCTCGTGGAGAGGGACCCCGACCCCGCCGCCGGCGACCTGGTGCTGCAGAAGTTGATGGACCTGTACAAGGAGAAGCTGCCGGTGAGTAGACTGAGCTCTGGAAGAGGTTACCTCTCGCGCAGCAGTGGAGCCAGGAGCCAAAGCTAGTGGAGCTGGTGCTGGATGACGTCACGCACCCCGCGGAGCCGGTGCAGCGCGCGGCGGCGCTGGCGCTGGCGCACCTCGTGGAGCGGGACCCCGACCCCGCCGCCGGCGACCTGGTGCTGCAGAAGCTCATGGACCTGTACAAGGAGAAGCTGCCGGTGAGTAATTTGTTATTTAGAACGAGAAAGAATGGAAAAATATTTGTTTGGTACCAAAAATAAAACGAAACTTGCGACATAAAGAGTAAAAAGTAACCAAATTTTATTATTGAAAGTGCAAGCTGCAAGTAATTGTCAATGGAGAAGTTTCGTGATGTTGAAAACATTAGATTTCACTGAATGGGATTAAAATATAGACCTAAACTAAAAAGCCGGTGAAGTTATTTTTGAAATCCATCAAGAAAAGGCTGAGAAATTAATTTGTATTTAAATTACCTCCATATTTTCGTTTGTACTCCGAATTACTGTCGTGACTACACCGATCAAAATGGCGCGAATATTTGTTATGCGCAACTCTAGGGCCCTGTAACTTTTGTATTTGTAGAGATATTTTCATGATTCTTTCACATTATTATTAGTTTTACTTATATTTTCAACTATTTTCAAGATTTATTAAAAGAAAAAAATTGGAAACTTGTCCATTGACGATAGCGTGCGCATGACGTGCGGTTTATTTGGACTTAGTATGCCTTACTTTAGTGACGAATAATTCCCCAGCTGATCCCGGCCAAGCTAGACCAGTTCGGTCACGTGGTGGAGGCAGCAGTAGACGAGTGGGGCGCACGACGAGGCGCGGGCGTGGCGCTGGGCGCGCTGGCGCCCCGCCTCACCGCGCACGCCGCGCCCGCTGCGATCACCTTCTTCGTGCACGACGCGCTCGGCGACCGCCACGAGGCCGTGCGTGCTGTCATGTTGGACGCTGCCATGGCTGTGGTTGATCTGTACGGGAAGGTAAGCACGATGAAAGAAAGAAAGAAGAAAGAAATGTTTTTTTATTTTTTATTTATTAGGTCTACCAACATTGTTACATAACAACATGTACACTTAAAAATAACAATTATGAACAAAGTTACAATGCAACAACAATTATAGGCTGACACAACATGCAATATAGATTCAATGCAGTTTGTTCCGTTATTTAGTCCAAACATCCTTAGACTACTTACAACAATATAATTACTTACTTATGTAGTTAAATTTGAACTAAAATGGCAGCCACTCAGCATGTGCTATGCCCTAGGTCAAGACCTAGAGCAGCGGTTCCCAAACTTATTTGGTCTACTGCCCACTTTGAGAATAAATTCTTTTTTAGCGTCCCCATTTTTGTAGTCAAGAGTCGAGTGCTAAGTCGGTGTCTAAGAGTCCTCCTAGTAGATGATATTATAAATCGCCTCCCAAGCCTCTACACAATGCCCCGATTTTTTTCCGGGGTCTCTTACCGCCCCCCTTTAAGCCTGCAGCGCCCACAAGGGGGCGTTATCGCCCACTTTGGGAAAGACTGACCTAGAGTATAACGCTGGTATTCTGTGGCAGCCATATCAAGTGGGTAGACATTAATATTTAAGTTTTACACAAAACAAAAAATAAATAACACATTGCTCTTCAAGTTTGTGTTGCGTATGTAATGTATATGTGCATGTGTGTGTTAGTATTATTAATCTTACCTAGGTCATGTAAAAACAGCCAGATTGACCACGACGATGACTTCTTTTGTTACGTTTAACTTTCCCCCTTGACAAACATGACCTTCACTAAAGCCCAGCCCAGCACGTAGAATTTCGTCCAATGATCCCAAGCTACCCATCCTTATCGCTCGCGCTCGTTGCTTGTTGCTTTCGCGCTCGCAAACTCACTGCGGCCGCCCGTCGCACAGTCACGACAGCAATATAATTACGCGCAAACGATGAGGATGGGTTTGGGGTCATTGGACGAAATTCTACGTGCTCGGCCACCGGACTATGGTTGGGTTTTTATTGGGAGTCAAGCTGTAGATCCTGGCTACACAGCAGCCCTACCTCGCGTTCTTTTGTTACGATTGTTTTTTGTTCTGTAATGTTTATTGGTGTAGTTAACACCGTTCACCGATGATTAAAAGACGCAACATCTTTAAATCACATCGAGCATTCAAAATCGAATTCATTTTAACAGTGCACTCCTCAGATCGAATGTCGTTTTACATTTTTAAACAAAAGTCTCCCGCTCACGTTTGTTGCGTGACGTGCGCGCGCAGCGGGTCTCCTCGCTCGTCCTCTATCTCACACGAGTTCTCGTCTACAGGAGACCGTGAGCAGCCAGCTGCCGGTGTTCGAGAACTTCCTGGACAAGGCGCCGAAGTCGGGCCACTACGACTGCGTGCGCCAGAGCGTGGTGCTGCTCATGGGCTCGCTGGCGCGCCACCTGGCGCCCAACGACGAGCGCGTGCGCCCCATCACGCTGCGCCTCATCGCCGCTCTGTCCACGCCCAGCCAGCAGGTACCGCTGCTGTGGACAATGAGGGCTATCGTTTTAGCGCTCACCAGTTAGCGCCACTGTAGAGTAAGCTCCTGTCACTTGCTAGTAGCGAAGACAGTGGCACCAACTGGCGAGCGCTAAAGTGGTAGGAGGACTATCGCATTTGCACTCATCAAGATGGCGCCACTGTAGAGTAAGGTGCTGTCAATCGCCAGGGGTGCCAACTGTTAAGTATAAAAACGATAGCCCTCATTCCTGAGTTTCGAGCATCTCTCTCACTCTCACACAATCCCATCTCTTTCACGCAAAGTGAGATGCCAGCATGAGCGGCAGTGACAGGACTCGAAACTACGAAAATAGCGTCATGTTTTAATCCTGCAGACGATACGCATGCCAATTGCCAAGCTTCAACATACAGTCGACGCATGCTTAACAACACCAAACGAGCACTACTGATGCCAGTTATTCTATTACATTTGATCGATTGTCTCGTGCAAATTGAATTTCTTTATTCACGTAATCACATTTCGAAAGTCACGATAGCCGAACGGTGAAGATGTCGGACTGGCCGATTCGTGATCCGGGGAACGCGGGTTCGGTTCACGGCGCCGCTCGACTATTGTGGTGAGCACACTCGTGATACAAACATATTTAGCTTAGTACGAGGGGCTAACGGGAGTATTAGTAATTTAATTTGTGCAATAAATTCTTAAAAACAAAAATCTTTAAAAAAAAAGTAGAGAATGTTTTCCAATTAGCTGTAGTCCATTGTTCTCCAACTCACAACACAGCTAGGAATTTGTCATAAAACCAAGTCCCACCTGGCAGGTGCAAGAGGCGGTGAGCAACTGCCTGCCGCACCTGGTGAACTCCAAGGCCCTGCAGCACGAGATCAACGGCATCATGGCGCGCCTCGTCAAGCAACTGCTCACGGCAGAGAAGTACGGCGACAGGAAGGTGAGCGAGCGATAACGGCTCTTACAGAGAGTACACTAAAGTCTATTTTTATACAACAGTGAAAATATTCCGGATTATCGGTCTCGCTTACACACACCGAACATTCTTCACTGTTTATCTTACCGTGGTAACTGTGAAGACGCCCCTGTCAGTTCGCCTTCAAATCGAATGTGACGTTTACGTGCATAATTTCATCTCACATTTATGTTGCTGTTAAATTATAAAGTTTATTATTTATCAGGGTGCAGCGTACGGTATCGCTGGTCTTATCAAAGGGCTTGGCATTTTGTCACTAAAATCGATGGACGTTATGGGCAAACTCACGGACGCGGTACAAGAGAAGAAAAACTACAGGTACCGTGAAGGTAAGGAAAATTACACTTCAGTTCGGATATTTTTAAAGATATTGCATTTCTTGGTCTTATTAAACCGACGCTCCTATTTCTGATTTTAGTTCGCGTCCGCGTATCCCTCAACCAAAAAGAGGTGGGGGCGCGTCTTCGTGGATGAAACGATCTATAAATGGCAGAGAATGCCTTATGACCTTGAAATTTGCCTTATGTACTAAAACGTGAGGCATTAAAGACAAAAAAAAATTAAAATAAGTCGGTTAATGAATACATCTCCAAGATCGTTCCATTTTGTTTTTGTGTCGGAGTGTCCTTTTTAGTCCCGTAATAATACCTCACATTGCATCATGTACATATTAGGCCCAATTTTGGTTCGTGGGGCCACTTATTTACTAATTTATTTTGCTTCAATATCATCGCACCGGCACCTCCCTTGAGCTCTTTCCCTTCATTTCCTTCGGTCGCCTCACGATAACCAAATCGCGCGGATTATGTCTTTAAGCGAACAAAACCAATAATACGCGGTCCGAGCCAATATATTTTGATACCATTCCCCAAGATACTGAAATCTGGCATTAGAAACTGAATCAATTCCAAATTACCTGTAAAATAAGAATTTTGGTTGCTTTGTTATTGAAAAGAGTAGTTAAATTGAGTTGGCAAAATAATAACGTCATTGGCTTGTATTGTTGCCTGCCATACAACATTTATAAGAGTGTCGTTTTGACAGTTTTAAAAACTATAGATGAACTACACTGAACTGTCCCACCAAACTCATTGACAGGGAGGCGCCACCATCGTTCAACTTTACAGTTTCCAACATGGCAAAAATCGGAACCAGCAATCCGGTAATGACGGTGGCGCCCCCCTGTCAATGTCACTGATGGGACGGTTCCTTAATAATTACATTGCTGTCGCGACTGTGCGACGGGCGCCCGCAGTGAGTGTGCGAGCGCGACAGCAACATAATTACGCGCGAGCGATAAGGATGGGTAGCTTGGGGTCATTGGACAAAATTCTACATGCTCACAGACCGGGCTTTAGTTGGACAATACATCAATCGATTGGTGGTGTCAAATGCCGTATTGTGAGTCGTGGGGCGTTGCAGGCGCGCTGTTCGGGTTCGAGATGCTGTGCCACAAGCTGGGCCGGCTGTTCGAGCCGTACGTGGTGCACGTGCTGCCGCACCTGCTCAACTGCTTCGGGGACACGTCGCAGTACGTGCGCGCCGCCGCCGACGACACCGCCAAGCTCATCATGTCGCGGCTCAGCGCGCACGGCGTCAAGCTCGTGCTGCCCGCGCTGCTCGAGGCGCTCAACGACGACAACTGGCGCACCAAGGCCGGTGCGTATGCGCATATGCAATCATAATCATTTCAGGATCTTCTTCTTTTCGTGTCGACAACAAACCTACACAGTGTCAAGCCCAAAACTCCGCCACAAGAGTGGCGTTGTCAGCAGCACTCATCATATCTATTTATTTATTTATTTATTAAAGACGCAAAACAGATTACAATTAAGGTTTCACAAATTATATAGCACGTAAGCTTATGGACTAAATTGTAACCTAACAACATGCATCCTATAAAGTATAGGTTAATAATGAATGTTACATCAAAACTTCAAAAACTCAGTTTACATTTTACGTTTTACAGAAAATTAAGATGTTAATTAATATAATATTATGTGTGTGAGAGTGAGAATAGTGAAAGAGGAAAATAAGATAAGATTGTTAATTAAAAATGGTAGCGATACTCCTTCGAAAGGCATTTGGACTAGACGTAAAAATGTCGATGTCCGGTTGGGCCAGTACGGTGTCATTGTAAAGGCGGCACATTCTGACGACTGGGTTGTAGAATGATGTATTGTTACGGAAAACATGAAGAGAAAAAAGCTTAGGGTGATGATACCTTCGAGATCTGTATACGGTATTGAAATTGAGGGATGATAGTATAGAAGGGGAGTCGATGAGTGAGTTGACAATCTTATGCAGAAAGATTAGTTCACTACATTTACGTCTCCCCTCGAGTGAAATCATATTGAAATAATCTAATCTGACCTGGTATGAGCTCAGTTTGCGATGGAGTCCCTGCCTAAATGAGAGCACACGTAGAAATTTTCTTTGTACGCTTTCAATATGCTTTGTGTGTATTGCGTAGAAAGGTGACCAGACAATAGCTCCGTATTCCAAGTTACTTCTAACCAAGGTATTAAAAAGATGAATAAGACTCCGGGACTTTTTGAAATGTTTAGATGCTCTCAGTATGAAGCCAAGGAGCCGAGACGCCTTATTACATATGAAATCATAGTGTTCCCTAAAGGTCAGCCGTTCATCAAAAATTACCCCCAGATCTTTAGCTTGACTGCGGCGCATTAGGATTTTATCGTTTATTTTATAGTCAAAACTGATTTTATTAATTTTTCTAGTAAAAGTTACTGCAAAGCATTTTTTGATGTTAAGAAACATTAAATTACTGGTACACCAATGAGACACCGCATCCAAGTCACCCTGCAAGGATCGGGCGTCCTCGAGATTAGAAATAGTCGAGTATATTTTTAAATCGTCAGCGTACAATAGACATGGGCACTTCAGGTGGTTGATAAGGTCATTAATAAAAATATTGAATAAGAGTGGACCCAAATGAGACCCTTGGGGCACTCCCGACGTTACAAATACTGGCTCAGAAATCTCACCCTTAAGGGCGACCAGTTGGCTTCTGTTGGATAGGTATGATTCGATCCAACGGAGCAATGACCCGTGAACCCCCATCGATTGCAGCTTTGAACACAGTATTGCATGGTTAACCTTGTCGAAAGCTTTTGAAAAATCCGTGTATACGGATTCGACTTGAGTATTTTTGGCAAACGCCCCACACAAATAATGTTTATACTCTAAGAGATTTGATACCGTAGACTTCTTCCTAACAAAGCCATGCTGTTTGGTCGATATGAGAGGATGAACGTGTGAATAAATTACTTCGTATACGATCGATTCAAAGATTTTAGAAAAACATGATAATATACTGATCGGTCTGTAATTTTCACATTGTGTTTTGTCGCCGTCCTTATGAATGGGGATCACATGAGCAACTTTCCACGCATCAGGAAAGAGTCCCGAGCAAAGTGACTGATTGAATAAAATACAAAGAGGTATAGACAGTTCCTCAGCGCACTGTCTGATGACAATAGATGGTATTCCGTCGGGTCCAGGGCTCTTTCTGATGTCTAAGGTCTTAAGTTTCCTTTCTATTTTGTCAACAGAGATTACCATTGTTGAAAGACTAGAGTTACTGACAGTTGGAGTCAAAGGAACAGGCACACCACTGTTGTTTTCATAAACCGAGCAGAAGTACTTCGAAAATAACTCGCATACACCCGAGAGATCGGAAGCCTGCGACCCAGCGTAGTTCATGACGCGAGGTACTGTGTTGCACTTGTTACGTTTGCCATTCACAAAAGCCCAGAAGCATTTGACATCAGAAGTAATCCCATTCTCAATCGAGTCAACGTAGTCCCGATAACATTTGTTAATTAGTCGCTTACACCGAGCTCGCAGCAGAGAGAAAGCATCATAGTCGCGCGGATTTTGGTATTTTTTAAATAATTTGTGGAATTTATGTTTTTCAGCCAAGCATTTTTTTAGTGATGAGCTAAACCAAACAGGAAACCTATTGCTAGTAACTGACGTGAGAGGAGTATGTTCTGTGATGATTTTATCGAGAGATTCGTAAAATACAGAAGTGTTTTCATTTATGTTGGCAGAAGATAACAATGTTTCCCATGGAACCTTCTGAAGGTCAGATCTGATACGTTCAAAGTTGCTCTTGTAGTAATTTCGGCGCTTTGTAGGCTTAAGAGTCCTGGGTGAAGCGTCGGGCGTGTCCGAACTCAGTGTGATCTCCAGAGCTGGATGATGTCGGTCTAAGTTACTTAGTGGGACACACTCTGAGACCCTGAGGCTATCCTGAGTGCTCAGAACTAGATCCAACTGGCGGTTATTTATATTGCCCACCCCGTTAAATTGGTAAAAGCCGCAGAGGGTCATGGTCTCGAGTAAAAGATTAGATTTATAATCCGATACAGAGGAAGGAGTGAAGTAGTTAGTGTTTGGGTGTTGAGTCCATTGTATGTTAGGCAAGTTATAGTCGCCAATACAAAGAAACGCCTGGCCACCACCGGCATTAAGAACAATCGATTGACATTTTGTGTAGAAATTTATAAGAGTCTCGGCAGAAGTGTACGAAGGAATGTAACTGAGACATATGTTCAACTTAGGATGATTAACTAAAGTCGGCTCTATTGTAATCCAGATGTCTTCGAGGTCAGTTTCCCAAGATGATTGGCGAATAACGTCGTATGATTTCTTAATAGCTAAGACTACACCACCACCCTCCGTTTTCTTATTACTCGAGGAACATCTATCCCGACGAAATACGTTATATCTACAGTCAAAAATTTCACGATCGGAGACGCTATCGTTTAAGTTGGTTTCAGTAAGACAGATAATATCGTAATTACAGTTTAATATAGTTGAGTATAACTCCTGTAACTTAGATCTAATTCTATTGACATTTTGATACAATTTTTCCATGAAGAATAATGAAAAAAAAGAACCTATTTAAAATCTAGACAGAAAGGTAGGTATACAAAGTCAATAATTGTTTTGGCCCTCAGACCCCACAGAATATCGTGCAGATGCTCGGGCACTCAGGGCACAACATCAGGTACTTCATCGACTAGGGAACAAAACCGCACCTGCACTCCTGCATTTCAGCGTGATCACTGCTGAACATAGGTTCCAATGGTTTCCATTGATGTTTCCAATGATCTGCACCCTAGAGACGTCTAGTGGTTTTGTGTAGAACTTTTTTTACGAAACTCATCCCTTTCGTAGGGAAAAGTTCTACCCACTAAAACGTGGAGCAAAATCAGGGTGTTTTCTGAATCGTGTTAATTATTAAGCGTCTCCACTCTTATTATTCTACGCATTTATCATTTGACAGATGTCGCGATCATCTACAAAATTGTACTATCTATCCATTTTCAACGAGGATATTGACCAGCACTTCACCACTTTTGTGGCGGAGTTTTGGGCTGACGCTGCGTATATTTGTTGTCGACACGACAAGAAGAAGCATTTCACCTTTGAAAATTGATGATGAGGCCGAAGGTGGAAGTTATAAGAAGCCATTCTTATCACAGGTTCGATCGAGCTCCTGGGCGCCATGGCATACTGCGCGCCGAAGCAGCTGTCGTCGTGCCTGCCGTCCATCGTGCCCAAGCTCATCGAGGTGCTGAGCGACTCGCACATGCGCGTGCAAGAGGCCGGCGTGGAGGCGCTCGGCGTCATCGGCTCCGTCATCCGCAACCCAGAGATTCAGGGTGAGTATACGTGAGATTTTTCTTCAGGCTCTGTTCTTCTCCCAAGTCTGTCATTTGCTTCAGCTTTAAATCTTTTCAAAGGCCTGTGCAGACGAGGACTATCCACGAGCGACTTTTGTCCACAAAAATAGATCCCTTTGAGGACGGGGAAAACCCTGAAACCTCAAAGAGGCCCAAGTCAATAAATGACCAGAATCAAGACTGTGTCGCCCGGAGACGCATGAATAGGAGGACCGACCCCAAATAAAATGGGAATGGGCTATTATGGGAATATAATTTATCCTTCTAACAACGCACAAGGAACTAAAAGCACCCCAAACAAAGTGTCTGTAAAGTCGAAAGTGCGCAGGCTTTGAGCACAAAATAATATTATATGCACCTATTCATATATGGGACAATATTACATATTGATTTGTATCATTTCCTTCAGCAATCGTGCCTGTCCTCCTGCAAGCCCTTCAAGACCCGTCGAACAAGACGTCAGCCTGCCTCCAGACGCTCTTAGACACGAAGTTCGTGCACTTCATCGACGCGCCGTCGCTGGCGCTGATCATGCCGGTCGTGCAGCGCGCCTTCCTGGACCGCAGCACGGAGACGCGCAAGATGGCGGCGCAGATCATCGGCAACATGTACTCGCTGACCGACCAGAAGGACCTCATGCCATACCTGCCCAGCATCATCCCCGGCCTCAAGAGCTCGCTGCTCGACCCCGTGCCCGAGGTCAGTGTCAGTCAAAATATAGTTCCAAAATACTTGACTGTCCTATCGATGACATTGACAGTGGGGCGCCACCGTCAATACCGGATCGCTGGTTCCTATTTTTGCCATGTTGAAAACCCCCCTGTCATTGAGTTTGGTGGGACAGTTTAGCGTGGGTCATCTATAGCATTCGAAATACGAAAACAAGGGTTGCTCCAATAAGTTTTTTTTACATTGTAAACTTTGAAATAGCTTGCACAAACAAGCAGACTTCATGTAACCATACAAGCAATATTTTAACCATAACTATACATGGACAGAATCTAATTCTTTGCAATAGTGAGTGATGAGTGATACGTATAAACGCAATTCATTTTACCGCGATATTTTGTTCGTTTCAACTATAAAGTTAATATACCTAGCGGAATAGAGCAACAAAGGACTGAGCGAGCTACCCTGTATGATAAAAAGAGCTGCGTGATGCGTGGGAATATGTATTAACTTTATGGTTTTATTTAACCTAATGCCGTTTGTGGGAGACGAATCGATCGCCTCCTCACATTAATTTAGCAGAAGTAGAATCTATACAAATTACAAGTGGCTTTGAATAAACAAATATATTTACAATAGACTAAATTACAAAAAAACATAAAAGAATTAAAATTATCAATCAGAACAAAATCAAAAAGAGCAAGACGCAGGAAGGTGTCAAAGTGACAACATAAATTTGTCTTTTTTCATTGCCGGCCAGGAGCGCGCGGCACGGAGCGCCGCGGGCGGACCAATGAGTCCGGATTGTGGCGTACATAGAACGCCACACCGTTCACTGCAAGACAAAGGCCTTCCCCACGGATTTCCACAACGACTTAGTATTATCACAAAATATAACAGAAGGTAAACTCATGTATGTACCTCGCTTTGCATACCTCTCTCGCTCGCACGCTCGGCCGTCGCGCTAGGGTTGTCTTGTCATGTGTTGCGTTTATTTCGTTATGATAGAAAAATTTTACTCTTAATACTATGGAAGAAAGACAATAACAGATATCCACGTATACTTATGCAGTTATATTTAGTACGTTATTATAGTAATAGTTTGCAAACAAATACACGAGAAGGAAGTAGTATTTAGTTGAGTGGTTGACACTATTATCCAATAATTCCTAAAACTTCTCTAAAACAATTCGATATTCCTAATAATTGAGTTGGCTTTCAATTTGTCAACGTTAAACGAACTATTGAAATACAAATAAATACCTTACTTACCTCCCGGAATCAACTGTTAGTTTCAAAAACGAAAATTTAGTTTTTAATGTTGAGTGTAAGCAACCGTCTACTTAACAAATGTTATTATACCCCTTTTTTGTTGTTCACTAATTTTCGCACAAACAAAATAATTTTACGAACGCGTGAGCAGCGTCACTCAAGCGAACGCAGTCGCGCCTCGCATTCGTCCAAGACAGTCTTGATAACGCGTACGTGAGCGGTGTCTATGTGTGCGTGGCTCGAGCGCGCTTAGTATGGAGTTTACCTTCTGTTATATTTTGTGGTATTATTGTCGTAACTTGTGATTTGTCCCCCAGGTGCGGTCGGTGTCGGCGCGCGCGCTGGGCGCGATGGTGCGCGGCATGGGCGAGCAGAGCTTCGAGGAGCTGCTGCCGTGGCTCATGAGCACGCTCACGTCGGAGAGCAGCAGCGTGGACCGCTCGGGCGCCGCGCAGGGCCTGTCCGAGGTCGTGGCCGGCCTGGGCGTGCACAAGCTGCACACCATCATGCCGGGTACGCTGATAACGTTAATGTGAAGGCAGCAACGGGAGGCAACACTAGTAGACCAGTAACAAACGGCCGACGAACGAATTCAATACGTAATTTTTTGAGGATGAAACCATTGATTTTCGTCGTCGTCGTCTCAGCCAAATGACGTCCACTGCTGGACAAAGGCCTCCCCCAAGGTTTTCCACAATGAACGGTCCTGCGCTGCCCGCATCCAGGCTCTTTCCGCGACCTTTACCAGATCGTCGGTCCACCTAGTAGGAGTAGAAAAAGGCTCAAGGTTCACCTCATAAGAAGGCTCAAGGTCACCCAAAGGGCGATGGAGCGGGCTATGCTCGAAGTTTCCCTGCGTAATCGAATCAGAAATGAGGAGATCCGCAGGAGAACCAAAGTAACCGACATAGCTCGCAGAATTGCTAAAATCATTGATTTTACTTCACTTAAATTCATAGAAGCTCATTGTAAATTGTGAAATGGTCTGTATATCGTTTCAGTATTCGCCATATTCATCGTTCTTCGTTTCAGCCAAATGTCGTCCACTGCGGGACAAAGGCCTCCCCCAAGAATATGCACAACGACCGGTCTTGCGCTGCCCGCATCTAGGCATCTCCCGCGAACTTCACCAGATCTTCGGTCCATCTAGTCTTCTACCCCAGCGGCCATCAGCTCTGCGAGTCTTGTGCCCCGCTTACTGCCACTTGATTTTAGCAATGAGGGCTATCGTTTTTATACTTAACAGTTGGCACCCCTGGCGATTGACAGGACCTTACTCTACAGTGGCGCCATCTTGATGAGTGCAAATGCGATAGTCCTCCTACCACTTTAGCGCTCACAAGTAGGCGCCACTGTCTTCGCTACTAGCAAGTGACTGGACCTTACTCTACAGTGGCACTAAAACGATAGCCCTCATTCTGCGGGCTATGCCATAGACACCAATTAATTGTAACTTTCGCCGCAGATATAATCGCGACGGCCGAGCGCACGGACATCGCGCCGCACGTGAAGGACGGCTACATCATGATGTTCATCTACATGCCGGGCGCCTTCACGGACGAGTTCACGCCCTACATCGGCCAGATCATCAACCCAATCCTCAAGGCGCTCGCCGACGAGAACGAGTATGTGCGCGAGACTGCGCTCAAGGTAACAACATACTACGTATATTCGCATTGCCCCGCACATTCGTTCTTACTCTCTTTCCTTCTTATTAGTCAAATCAAAATCAAAATTTTCTTTATTTGTTTAGACTAATTAAATTAGTTCTTGCAAATCGTCAAATGCTCTTAAGGAGCCTATACATGTCTCAATCTTTTTTTGCCCTACCAGCGCTTCGAGACAAACATTTGGCAAGTGCTGAGAAGAAGCGCCGCAACAAACTCAGTCACCACTGTATGCCGGTTTAAAAATATAAAAAAGTAGTCAGTTACAATACATTCAGAAGCAAGTTACTTACCACGCGCTCCCGTTGATAGAAGGTGGCCTTTAAGACGCCCATCTAGCACGAGACCGCGTGGCAGTTTTAGGAATATATTTATTTAGTGCCGTGCTAATTTCTGGGTTAATTGTTGCGTTTTGATACATATATATTTTATGTCAGGTATATCTTTCCTTTACCAGTCCCCGAAAGCAGCGCCTGTTCACAGACATGACGTGTGAACCAGCCATCGCTTCACTCGACCATATTATAGGGAATGTAACGACCCGCCTCACACGCCACTACCCCAGAGACATTTTAGTAAGCATGACAAGTCCTTCTGGCTAAGTGCCAGTCATCTTCAAAGGATTAAGCCGCGTCCACACTGCTCTTGAGCGAGCATGACTCGCGAGGACATGCGCCCAGTGTGGATGCGACTTTAAACGTTTGTGATACGGGCATGCGCAAATGAAAGGTCATAGCCACTGTGTATGTAAAATATTTGTACAATTACAGGCCGGTCAGCGCATTGTCACATTGTACGCAGAATCTGCGATCACATTGCTTCTACCGGAGTTGGAACGCGGGTTGTTTGATGACAACTGGCGTATCCGATACAGGTATGTCGCCGCTCATATAATTGTCACTTAATATTGAAGCGTTTGAAATGGTCAATCAATATATAATTTCTGTTTTCAGTTCGGTCCAACTTCTCGGAGACTTGCTTTACCGTATATCTGGAGTGTCGGGCAAGATGAGCACGGAAACAGCGTCTGAGGACGACAACTTCGGCACAGAACACTCGCACAAGGCGATTATGCGAGCGCTAGGCCCCGAGCGTAGGAACCGCGTGCTAGCTGGACTTTATATGGGCCGCAGCGACGTGGCGCTCATGGTGCGTCAGGCCGCGCTACACGTCTGGAAGGTAATAATAACAATAATAAATACACTTTATTGCACACCAAACAAATAACATAACAGAAAAAAAGGAACACACAAGGTACAATTAGGCGGTCTTATCGCTACGAAGCGATCTCTTCCAGACAACCTATGGTGAGGACAGTTACTTGAAACAAATATGAAGGGGAAGGCGGTGTCGACACTAAAGAAATAAATTATAATAAAAGGCATACAATTTAAACCAAAATAATACATGGTAATGTATAGTATAGCACACATTAGCTATTACATTTTCATCGACGGAGAGTGAGCTATACAAATCGAGTGGAGTAAACTCTTTTTTTACCTTATTACACTTATCCTCGACTTATGCAAGCGTGTTTTTCTCGCAGGTGGTAGTGACAAATACACCGAAGACGCTGCGCGAGATCCTGCCGACGCTGTTCAGCCTGCTGCTGGGCTGCCTGGCCTCCACCAGCTATGACAAGCGCCAAGTGGCCGCGCGCACGCTCGGCGACCTCGTGCGCAAGGTAAAGCCGAGCTTACACGCCTACCGAAAACATAATCGCTGTAATTAAAGCCTCGTCCGTGAGCACGTAGAATTTTGTCCAATGACCCCAAGCTACCCATCCTTATCGCTCGCGCGTAATTATATTGCTGTCGCGACTGTGCGACGGGCGCCCGCAGTAGGTGTGCGAGCGCGAAAGCAACATAATTACGGGTCATTGGACAAAATTCTACGTGCTCACGGACCAGGCTTTAGATGAAAAATATGTACTGTCACGTGCATTGAACCTTTATACTTTGTATATGGACTTTTATTGACGTCATGTACGTTATGTCTTACCACTTTCGTGACGTTTTCAGTTGGGCGAGCGCGTGCTGCCCGAGATAGTACCGATCCTGGAGCGCGGGCTGAAGTCGGAGCGCGCGGACCAGCGCCAGGGCGTGTGTATTGGCCTGGGAGAGATCCTGGCTTCCACCTCGCGGGAAGCGGTCATGAGCTTCGCCGATGGCCTGGTAAGAAAACCTAAAATTCCGTTGTTAAAGCAGACCTGTTCATCTCTGCGAGTATACATCGAAAACAAAACACTCTCAACGTACTCTCCTGGGATGTTTAATCCACAAGGCATTCACGAGCGAGCAACGTAAGCGCGCGTATTCTTCAACCATTGTAAAACAAATATTCACAATGGAAATAAGAAAAAATATGCGTGTGTGCGCGACACAGTAGCTTCTTGTCAGTCAGCCTTATCACATCGGCAAAGTACCAGTCATTGACATAAGTCAAACGAAACGGTACTCGACTTTGAGACAAGCTAAATTACACCATATTGTTGACGACATTGAGTACACATTTTTTTAAATACCTTCGTATAGAAAAGTTTCTGTGAAAATGAAAATAAAAAAAGAAAAAGAATAGAAATGAAAGTTCTGTGTGTAGTTAAAGCCAAAAACATTTGCTTTGTTCGTGTGTTTTTGTTAACTTGTTATTTTTTAGGTGCCGACGGTCCGCACGGCGCTGTGCGACCCGCTGCCCGAGGTGCGGCTGGCGGCGGCGCGCGCGTTCGACAGCCTGCACGCCACCATCGGCAACAAGGCGCTGGACGACATCCTGCCGCACATGCTGCGCTCGCTGCACGACCCCGACAAGCAGCTCGCCGACGCCACGCTCGACGGGCTCAAGCAGGTACGTGCCACGCCATAGCTAGCTCCCCAATCCGTCCCCCGGACACGGTCTGAGCCGAGCTACGAGCCTACCATGGCGCCCTCAGGCCGCGTCCGTAGTCCCCTCGATCGGGTCCACTACTGTGAGCCCACCGTAGGCTGGACTTTGGTCCAACACCGCGGAGGGCAACCCTCTAGTTGGGTTCGCCACTGATCGGGCGCCTTATGCGCTCGATACGGCCCGATCGCCAAACGGCTAGAGTGCCTTCTGTACTCGCCACTCTGCCCGGTGAAGCTGGAAAAGCTCCTGAAGCTACCAGCGCGCGTCCCTTCAAAAAAAAAAACTTAGCTAGCTGGCCAATGTACCCAGAAGAACTAAGTTACTATATACAAGGTGAAAACGATAAGTGATCTCACTCGATTATTTCTAAACTATACAAGATGGTCAGTTTTTGATATCTTGACCGTTCGAAAAAGCTTGTGAAGTGCTTTAACCTTTAGCTACTGAGGTGGATTTAATTTCACGTAAACACTGACGTGGGGGCCTGAGAGGCCCGTACATATGTGTGCTTATATTTAAAAATATATAATCTTTTTAGGGTTTTATGTTTAATAATTATTAATAGTGGTTATATTTAAATACTATAAAACGATTTTTATGTAAATTATTTGTTAAAAAGTACGTATTATTTCAATATTTAGAAAACATGTAGCATTTTTTGGCAAAAATCTCATGAAATCATGATTCACAAAGTTATGATGAAAAATATTCATAAATTCAACAAATCAACTTAGAATCTTAATTTTCAATAGTCTTTTTAGCTAATGATTTATAAGTAATCCTAATATGAAAAAGGAGGAAAAAAATTACACACATCAAATAGTGCGAATTAAACACAGTCTGAATAAACTTTCTTTGCTCAGTGAAGGAAGCCATACATATTTTTAAAATGTAGATTTCATTTGAGTCTTCAAAATACATGTATGGCACTTGGTTTCATCGTTTAAATCTTGATAGACAGGTACAGGCTTATCATTTCCTAGCATACGTGCCAAAAACTACTGTTCTTCTATTTTTCGTTAAATGCTGGTTATTTTTACTTCCGAGATACCGCTTTCTCTCGGACGACGTACTGTGGGCTCCATATTATATATTTTTTCAAATAATTTCAAGAAAAGACGACAACTAAGTGAAAACTATAGACAAAAAAAGTTACGCCAATACTGAGGTGGGGGCCTGAGAGGCCCACAAGAAACTTTAAAATTAATTTACCTACTGAAATTGCGCGTGCAATCACGTGCACCGTTGTTGACAGCCTCGGCGCAATGAAACTTGAAGGTACTAAAAGATTCGCGTGTGTCGTGCACGTGGGAGAGGAGAAATTCAACAATTTGACTTTTGCAAGGCCTGAGAGGCCCCCACGTCAGTAGTTAAAGGTTAAGGATCAGTATCCAGTTTTTCGATATCTTGTATAGTTTAGAAATAACCGAATGAGATCACTCATCGTTTCCATCCTGAATTGATGACCAAAAAAGTACCTTGAGGGATAGTCTCTCGTCTCCGCAGGTTAGTTATAGATAAATGCTTTCCACGCTGGATTCATTTGGATTTTTTTTTCTCCTTTTTATATCTGCAATCGACTTGGGTCATAATCAGATGTTTTGTCTTGCTTTTTTTTGTGTTCTTAAGAGAATTTGCTGAAATACCCCTCTATTTCAGTAAATTCTCTCCCTCGGTCTTCACTCATTCACGTAGCAATCTAGTCCAGCCTTCCAATATTCAGTCCAAGCCACTAGCATCTTTGGTGCAACTGTAGTATTTGCCATCTTTTCAGTCTTGTCTGGATCTTCATTTGGATTTGAAAATAAAATATTATTATCTTTAGGTGATGGCGATCAAGTCCCGCGCAGTGCTCCCATACCTGGTCCCAGTGCTAACCGGCTCGGGCTCCGGGCCAGGCGGCAACGCGGTGGACACTCGCGCGTTGTCGGCGCTGGCGGCGGCGGCGGGCGGCGCGCTGGGCCGGCACCTGCCGCGCGTGCTGCCCGCGCTGCTGACGGCGCTGGTGGCGGCGCGAGGCCGGCCTGACGAGGCCAGGGAGCTGGAGAACTGCCGCGACGCGCTGCTGCCTGTCACCGACGCCGCTGGAGTTAGGAGGTATAAAAATAGTTTATTCTTTTTTACAAAGGCATTACAAAAAAACTTCTAATAAAAAGGCAGAAGGTAATGGATGGAATCAACTCGTGCTGCCTAAGGGACGATATCTATTGACCGGCGCGCGTCGGAGCCCACTTACACGGCCGTAAAAAAAAGTATTTTCTTAACAGTTCTTGATAGTCGTAATTGTTTACAACTGATTAACTGACATTTCAATCCGGACGGATGCACGAGCATGCGTCGGCGCAAGGTACGCGGGCATTCCACCGCATTTTTGCTACCTATTACTTGAGATACAAACGGTATTATTTCCACTTCTCATTCCTACCGCTGCAACATCTGTGTAGTCAGGATCTACAGCTTGACTGCCAATAAAAACTCAATCAGGAAAAGCTAAGAAAATTAAACTGTCTTAGACCCAAAACGAAATTAATAAAAAAAAAACTAAGAGTTCAACTCCCTGTGATGCAAGTATTTGTTTTCAAATAATTAAAAAAAGGTTTTTTTATCTACAAGGAATAATGAACCTCACTTTATTTCAGCATCATCGACACACTGCTAGAGACAATCCGCACGAGCGAGGAGCCGCGACGGCGCGCGGCCGCTGCTCTGCTATGCGCGTTCGTGGCGCACACGCGCGCCGAGCTCGCGCCTCACGTGGCGGCGTTGCTGCGCGGGCTGCTGGCGCTGTACGCCGACAAGGAGCGCGAGCTGCTGTGCATGGCGTATGAAGCGATGGCAGCGCTGACCCGTACGCTGGATGCCGAGCGCATGATCCAGCACGTGCCAGATGTGCGAACGGCGTTGCGCCTCGCAGCTGCGGATCTCAAGGGCGATCTCTTGCCCGGATTCTGTATGCCCAAGGTATAATCGATTTTTCTCGCTCTAATAGTCGTCTCGTAAATAGTGCCCGAATATTTGATGTACTTGAATTTGGTTATTCTTACCGTTAGATAATTCCTGGCAATTAGTGGTGACTGAGTTTGTTCCGGCATTTCTTCTCAGCACTTGCCATATGTTTGTCTCGAAGCGCTGGTAGGGCCTAAAAGATAAGGAGACATGTAAAGTGCCCCATAAGAGCTACCTTTTTTTTTATTATTTACTATATTTTAACATTCATAAGTCCCACTTGTGGTCTAAACTGAATAAATATTTTTGATTTTGAATAAATATTTCGATTAATGAGTATCGCTACGACGAATAAGCAAAACGGTTCGTCTATCTGCCAGGCGAGACCTACTACTTTACCCCTAATACTCATTTTTTTGTTAGTAATCATTGATGGCATTGCAGGGCAATGCCATTTATTCCTATAAAGTCAAAGTTTTTTATTCAGTACTTAGACGTGTATAAACATGTCCCAAATAACTTGCCACCACACCACTTCGGGACAAAATATGGGCTGGTGTTGAGCGGAAGAGGCGGAAGACTTTCTTTTTCATTTGTCTTTTTTGTGTCAAATAAATATTTTTTTATTCTTTTTACCAGGGTATTTCCCCCCTCCTGCCGCTGTTCCGCGAGTCGATCCTGAACGGGCTGCCGGAGGACAAGGAGAACGCCGCGCTCATGCTGGGCGAGATCATCAAGCTCACCTCCGCCGCCGCCATCCAGCCCTCCGTCGTTCACATCACTGGCCCTCTCATCCGTATCCTGGGAGACCGGTTCAATTCCAGTGTTAAAGCAGCAGTCTTGGAGACTCTGGCTTCATTATTGTCCAAGGTAAAACATGTTCCATTATGAAGAGCAGAACGCCGCGCTCATGCTGGGCGAGATCATCAAGCTCACCTCCGCCGCCGCCATCCAGCCTTCCGTCGTTCATATCACGGGACCGCTCATCCGCATCCTGGGAGACCGGTTCAACTCTAGTGTCAAGGCCGCAGTCTTGGAGACTCTGGCTTCATTATTGTCCAAGGTAAAACATGTTCCATTATGAAGAGGAGAACGCCGCGCTCATGCTGTATAACTCCTGTAACTTAGATCTAATTCTATTGATATTTTGATACAATATTTCCATGAAGAATAATGAAAAAAAAAAGAACCTATTTAAAATCTAGACAGAAAGGTAGGTATACAAAGTCAATAATTGTTTTGGCCCTCAGACCCCACAGAATTTCCCGACAACTTCAACAGAAAGTCCGAGTTCCTGATTTGTACTGCGCTGGAGGTATCATTCTTGCGTATATAGATCCTACCGTATCTTACCCATACATACTTATAGTTATTACTTTGAGCAAATCTTCTAGTTTCAGCGTGCAGCTTTTTCATTTCAGGTGATAGGTGTTCAACCACGTATATTCTGCCTGCACTCCCAGCATCGATCCCGAGGGAACCGGCGCTGAGCGGTGAGTCGGGATGGTTTTTGTTATAACGATGTGCAGACGATATGATAAGATCACGTTGTCGGGGGGAGTCCAAGGTGACAAGAATGTTGCGGGGACGTGCGGAGCCGGAGTTCATTTTTGCGACACGACGACACGCACGTATTGCGAAGTCTTCTATATTCGCGTTTACTACCTCGCAAAGCTTTTTGAATAAGGATGTTACATTTTCGTTTTTAATTTCAGGGACTGCCTGAATTTCGATGTTCAGACTGCGGGACAGGTTCTCCACACCGGACAGCTTAGCCTCCACATGCCGAAGTTGTTTTTGCAAGTTACAATTCTCTCTCTCAAGGTCCCGAATATTTTTAGTCTGTTTGTCCAACTCTACCTTGAAGTCCTTCTGCTCAGCGCTCAAGTAATCCGTCGTTGTTGTGAAGTCCTGCTTCAATCCAGTAACTGCTTTGGTTGTTTCAGTACGAACCATTTCCTCGATGTCGGACCTCAAGGCAGAACGGAGGTTGGTCATGTAATAAGAGAGAGCCGTATTCAGCTTTTCGTCCATCATTTGGTTAATCTTGTCCAAAGTAATAGACGAGTCCAGAGATTGAGGAACGCCAGGTACCCGAGCTCCGCTCGACTCCGATGTGTCGTGGACCACCTCAAGGGACATATCGAGAGATTCCTCAAGCGGCTGATGTCGTCGGACCGGGGTGTTGCAGTTGCTTTTAGTACGTCTGGTAACGTTTGTGCAGGCGGGGCATACCCATGATAGTAGGAATTCCTCAGACAATGAGGCAAATTGGCTACTTTTTATATTTAGGCACTTATAGTGGTAATCAAATTTACATAATCGGCAGTGTAAAAAGCTATTGGGTTCAAGCGGGCAGCGGCAGGCGTTGCAATTCATTTTTCATACAATATTTCTAACACAGGTTGGTCAAGTTAACTCCCTCCGGCGGTGTGATCGAGAAACACTTGAGGCCTTGTAGCTTACTAGCGCAATCAATATTTAGCAATGAAGATTGACGATAGATGGCGTTCTACAGCTAAATGTGCGGAAAGTGCGCAGGCGCGTTCAGGTGTCGCTAGTTTCCGATAGATGGAGTTGGGGTGCAGTATCGGTATACAATGATTATTAAGTCCTCGAACAAATGTCATTCACAGTCATTCACTCACTTCTAGTCGGTCACGAATCCATATCTATGGTCACGAAAAACTTTGACAATCAGTCACAACAACACAGCTGTGATACCCTCAGATCCCGAAAAAGTTATCATCATCCAGGTTTTAATTCACACAAAAGGGCTTGATTCACTATCGGAGTAACTGAGATAACACTAGATGGGGTAAGTCGCGGTACAAGGAACGCGAGGCAGTCATCTGTGTAGCCGAAATGTTGATTTAACACACACACACAACTCAAATGTACTGAGCGATTATTACGCGGCTTTTGTTGTTGACGTCCGTCGAAGAAAAATGAGATACTATGTCATATGAGACACTTGAGAAACCTACTCGTACATTGGCATATCCTATTATTTCCAGTGGCATTCGATTAGAAGTGTAAAATCCGTCTTCCTTTTAAAAAGATATCTACCGAACAAACCGCATGCAAGTTCCATTACTCTGGGTAATCTTCGCTGGCAGACACATTGCTGACAATTCTCCGATCGCTGACTGCATTTTTGCTTCAAGCACGTAGGTATCTTATACCGGGTTCGCATAAAATAATACTTGAAGATCTACAAAGTTTTTATGTCACGTATAAAAATGAAAATGAGAAAGTTTTTAGACTAATATTAAAAAGAGGAAAGATTGTTTGTTTAATAATTATTATTGATGGGATTGCTTGCTACCATATACCTTAATTTTGAGTTTCCGATACAAGGTAAGTACATGTTAGCAAACCCGCCAGTAATAATGATTATGTTAGTGACCATGAAAGTTTAAAACAATTGATTGTTTGTTTGTATTCATTAGGCTCTTAAAATACTAGACCAATTTGAAAAAGTCTTTCAACATTAAAATCTTACATTATTCCTGACGAAATAAGCGGTACAAAGGTCCTAAAATAGTAATATTGTTGATTAACCTTAATATTTCTCTCACAACTACACTTTTCATGTAGGTAAGTCATAATTTAAAATAATTTTTATTCCCTCTCTCGGGAATCCCGGGATAGAGTAGAGTCGAGATAGAACGAGTGATTCATTCTTTCAAATTATCTAATTTCTTCCATACAAATCACAGCGCTGTGCTATTTACTCGTAAATGCTAGTTCTATGATTAAGTTGGTGTTTTGAACACTGGCAACGGTCGCAACGTGTCTCTGGGGCTTAACTACTGCGCTTTTGGTTTGCAGTTTGTTCAGTATGTTTTATGTTACGTGAATACCAAAAGCTGGACGCCTTTAATCTAATTTTGTGAAGTTTATGTGTATTTTGATTCAACAAAAACATTTTGCCTTTTCAAACTGTAATTGTATATTTATACAATTAAACTGACCTAAAACTCTATCAGTCTATTCTTGCTTTTTAACAGCCGTGGTGAGTTTAACAGCCTTTATCTTAATCAACACATATTATATAGGAAGAAATACTTTAAAATCGTAAACTTCGTTAAAATATTACGACTGTATCAGACTTGACACAGACGGTTACAAAACAATAAAACTGTCATCTCAATTTCTTAGTGTTCACGCGTAAAACTTTCAGTTTATTACAAAAACAATTCAAGCTCGGATTACGAGAAAGATAGCTAGCAGACCATCAAATCTATACTAATATTATGAAGCTGAAGAGTTTGTTTGTTTGATTGAACGCGCTAATTTCAAGAGCTACTGGTTCGATTTGAAAAATTATTTTTGTGTTCGATAGCCCATTTATCGAAGAAGGTTTTAGTTACGCTATTTAACATCACCCTACAGCCAATAGGGGTGAAGCAGTAAAGAAAAATGTTGCAAAAACGGTAATTATTATTCGAACTATTTTCACGCGTACGAAGTCGCGGGCACAGCTAAGTAGTACATTGAGAAAATAAATTTCTATTTGCTTTAATGAACATTAAATAATAAAGTTGAGTTTGTTTCTTTGTACATTGCTAACTCAACGTTTTTCTTTCAGAGACTTTGATGTCTTTAAGTCAACAGAGCTAAATCAGCCTGTTTCAATGAAATATTAAAATTTTATTTAGTTAGTGCCTTTTTACTAGGGTTTCTGATTTCTCGACTTATTTTTTTTCTCGAGTTTCGAGAATTCTCGAGGCCAAAGTCTCGAGTTTTCTCGGGTCTCGAGTCTTTTAATGAAAACTGCTGAAATCGGTTGAAATTTCATAAAAACACAAGTTTTTTTAATCTAATACCTACTTTTATGCACAACAATCAATATTAGAATTTAGTACCGCTTATTTTGGTAAGAAAAGAAACAAAAAATAAAATCTTCTGTCATAATTAATATTTACTAATAATCATAATAAAAGTTATAAAGACGCATAGTACTTTAAGGATAAATAACAATAAAATTCTGGAGCTACAATTGAATCACTTGTTTTCTAAAGAACACAAGTCCAAATAGCAAAATTACGATAAAGAGTTTTTTTATGAACAAAAAAAACTATTTAATAAATTATTAAATTTCTTACAGATAACGACTGGAATAAACTTTACGAGGAGTCACGAGTACCTAACCTAACGTCTGTTAGTTTAGGGGTAAAGTTACTGTCTAGTTAACAAATTTTTCAGTCTTTTTAAATCAGTCAGACTTAAAAATACATAATAAATATAAAGGCACTGGGNTTATGAAGTAAGAAGGGATGCTTGAGACTTTTAGCTTATTTTTTGTTGAGTTTATTAGTGTATCTTATGTTGATAGCCTAATAAATAAAGTAACTAAAGCCCGGTCCGTGAGCACGTAGAATTTTGTCCAATGACCCCTAGCTACCCATAGCGATAAGGGTTCGCTCGCGCGTAATTATATTGCTGTCGCGACTGTGCGACTGGCACCCGCAGTGAGTGTGCGAGCGCGATAGCAACATTACGCGCGAGCGATAAGGATGCGTAGCTGGACAAAATTCTACGTACTCACGGACCAGACTATAGAAAAAATGTTACTCGGCGTAGTGATGTCCCAACATTACGGAACGGTCTTCCCTGGGCTACATATTTACGTAGCCGAGTATCCGTGTATACTTCGGCATTTTTTTGTATACCCAAAACTGTTAGAAGAAATTCACTTCGCTGTCGTCCGAATGATATTGCGATATACTGTGAATCACATTACCAGCTACCCATTTTCAGTCATGTAAAGAATCTTCATATGATGAGAGCGAGAGAAAAATCGGAAATGGGTAGCTGGAACTGTGGTCCACTGTATGTGGCCCAAGGGACTGCAGTGCTTTATTCCTTTGTCGGTAAGGAAGTATGATTTCGGCCGGATCTCAGACTTAATCATCAAACATACTAAGCATAAAATAAGTTTAAAGTAACACTACTTACCCTCTTTATTTCATAATTTTCAATTCATTCTGTGCACACATGTTAAGAGTTGCGGTTTAGATTAATCTATGGATTAATATCTGTGCCTAAATAAGACTATAACTTGATTTGTGAGCCATAATTCTATATTATAAATGCGAAAGTTTGGATGTCTGGATGTTTGTTACTCTTTCACGCAAAAACTACTCAACGGATTTTGATGAAACTTTACAGTATTATTATTTATAACTCAGAGTAACATATTGGCCTCTAACCGTCAAAAATGGAAGCACATCGCCAGGAGAGCTACCCTCGGAGATGACATCACCCCACCATGTACCTCGTCAGCGCAGCCACGACCACTCTGACAAGAGTGTCCGACTAAGAAAAAGAAGAACATATAGGCTTTAATTTATGACGATCTGTGAGAAACGAAATTTTACGCGGGTGAAGCCGCGGACAAAAGCTAGTAAATAAATAAATAATAAATCGTGTTTGTGTCGCAGGTGGGGTCGATGCTGAAGCAGTTCCTGCCGCAGCTGCAGACGACGTTCCTGAAGGCGCTGCACGACGGCGCGCGCGGCGTGCGCATCAAGGCGGGCCAGGCGCTGGCGCAGCTCGTGCTCATCCACACGCGCGCCGACCCGCTCTTCGTAGAGCTACACAACGGCGTGCGCCTCGACGACCCCGCCGTGCGCGACACCATGTTGCAGGCTAGTGTCCGATGTTACTAAACCCACTAAATTTGACTTAGGCCCAGAACAAACGGTGAAACGCAACTGCAACGATACTGCAACTTTGTGATGATTCTGATGAATGAAACTGAAACTGAAAGTTTCAAACTGGTCGCGTCATGTGTGGTCTCTCGACGGACGCTATGGCAGAAACTTAGATGCAACTTAAAAGTAACTAGCAGTTGCAGTTTCGTTTCACCGTCTTTTCTGGGCCTTACTGTCGTTTACAGTCAAAAGCAGTTAAATACGGTCATTTCTAGTCCCTTTGATTTCTCTAATATTTTAATACTTTTAAGATTTTTTTTTTTAGTTTGTGTGATAATAAAAGCATGCTTCTAAATTAGAACTAAAAAGATTTATTGTGCTCTTTCTTTCCCCATGCGATTGCCTCGCGTTCCACACCCATGCATTCGCAACTTCGAATCGCCGCGCGCGTCGATTTTCATGTCGCCATTTACTTATAATATAATAGGAAAAAAAGTAGCTTCAATTAATCTTGCATAATTGGGTAAAAATTCTAAAAAAAAACTCGGTGGCGGTGGTAGTTGAAAGTGGACAGAAATATTTGAGTCATATGAACTGAATTTGACATCAAATGACCAGTCATTAAAGTCAACCTTTACTAATCGTGCCTGGTCAGATTCAGTAATTTAATTTACATCTCTATAGGCGCTGCGAGGCGCGCTCGTCGGCGGCGGCGACAAGATGTCGGAGCCGCTCGCACTGGCCGTGCTCACCACGCTGAGCGGGCCGGCGCTGCTGGCGCACCCCGACGACCCGCCGCGCCAGGCCGTGGGCGGCTGCCTGGGCGCGCTGCTGCCGCGCCTGCCGCCCGCGCACCGCGACGCCGCGCTGCTGCACCACGTGCTGGCCGCGCAGCAGCAGCCGCACCACCATCACCACCAGCCCGCGCAGGTACGTTCGTTTCAGCCGAAAGACGTCCACTGCTGGACAAAGGCCTCCCCCAAGGATTTCCACGAAGACCGGTCCTGTGCCGCTCGCATCCAGACACCTTCCGCGACCTTCACAACGTGGGAGGCCTGCCCACGCTACGTCTTCCGACTCGTGGTCGCCACTCAAGAACTTTCCTGCCCCAGCGGCCATCAGCTCTCCGAGCTATGTGCCCCGCCCACTGCCACTTGATTTTAGCGATTCTGCGGGCTATGTCAGTCACTCTGGTTCTTCTACGGATCTCCTCATTTCTGATTCGATTACGCAGGGAAACTCCGAACATAGCACGCTCCGTCGCTCTTTGAGTGACCTTGAGCCTTCTTATGAGGCCCATAATAAGCGACCACGTCTCAGGTACGAGGCGTCTAATACTTTGTCACCCATAAAGTAGCTAAAAAGCTCGCAACACATGTTTTTTTCAATTGGAAAAAGGTTGTGTTGTCAAGTTTTTGGTCACTTAGAGTGTCACGAACTATTTGACGCTGATTATTTATTTATTATAGACACTAAAGCCCAATGACCTCAAGCGCACTCACTGCGGGCGCCTGTCGCACAGTCGCGACAGCAATATAATTACGCGCGAGCGATAAGGATAGGTAGCTTGGGGCCATCGGACGAAATTCTACGTGCTCAACGACCGGACTATACACACTTCTCTTCTGCCGGGGCGGCGTGATGGTAAATTGAACATGAAAAAAGTACAAATATTATTATATCAAACTCATTTTTGATTGTTGTTCCAGGACGACTGGCTTCTGACGCACGGCCGTTCTGCTGCGCTGTTCGTCGCGCTCAAGGAATCACCTGCTGAGGTAAGTAACGTGACCGTTTCTCAATGTAGTTAGGATTACGGGAACCATCACTTTATGATTTTTTATTGACACTCCGCAAATAACAACGAACGCGCCTATTCTTTGTTTTGAGTAACGTAACCAACTCTCTAAATAAATAACACGATGACACTAAAAATTGTAAATATTCCTTTCCATTTCGATGTCCGTCATGGCTAACGCTCGTGTGTTCCCAGATCTACCGCGACCACTTCGAGGAGAAGATCGAGAAGACGCTGCTGTCATACCTGGCCAGCGAGCGCGTGCCCACCGCCTGCAACGGGCTGCGCGGCGCCGCCTACCTGCTGCGCCACCTGCTGGCCGCGCGCCGCCCCGCGCCGCCCGCGCTGCTGCAGCAGTTCGTGAGGGTAGGACCGCACTCATACACAGCACACTACTCCCTGCGTGGCTCGCCAGGCGTGCCACCGCCTGCAACGGGCTGCGCCACCTGCTGGCCGCGCGCCGCCCCGCGCCGCCCGCGCTGCTGCAGCAGTTCGTGAGGGTAGGACCGCACTCATACACAGCACACTACTCCCTGCGTGGCTCGCCAGGCGTGCCACCGCCTGCAACGGGCTGCGCCACCTGCTGGCCGCGCGCCGCCCCGCGCCGCCCGCGCTGCTGCAGCAGTTCGTGAGGGTAGGACCGCACTCATACACAGCACACTACTCCCTGCGTGGCTCGCCAGGCGTGCCACCGCCTGCAACGGGCTGCGCCACCTGCTGGCCGCGCGCCGCCCCGCGCCGCCCGCGCTGCTGCAGCAGTTCGTGAGGGTAGGACCGCACTCATACACAGCACACTACTCCCTGCGTGGCTCGCCAGGCGTGCCACCGCCTGCAACGGGCTGCGCCACCTGCTGGCCGCGCGCCGCCCCGCGCCGCCCGCGCTGCTGCAGCAGTTCGTGAGGGTAGGACCGCACTCATACACAGCACACTACTCCCTGCGTGGCTCGCCAGGCGTGCCACCGCCTGCAACGGGCTGCGCCACCTGCTGGCCGCGCGCCGCCCCGCGCCGCCCGCGCTGCTGCAGCAGTTCGTGAGGGTAGGACCGCACTCATACACAGCACACTACTCCCTGCGTGGCTCGCCAGGCGTGCCACCGCCTGCAACGGGCTGCGCCACCTGCTGGCCGCGCGCCGCCCCGCGCCGCCCGCGCTGCTGCAGCAGTTCGTGAGGGTAGGACCGCACTCATACACAGCACACTACTCCCTGCGTGGCTCGCCAGGCGTGCCACCGCCTGCAACGGGCTGCGCCACCTGCTGGCCGCGCGCCGCCCCGCGCCGCCCGCGCTGCTGCAGCAGTTCGTGAGGGTAGGCGGAGTGGCGCCACATGAAGCACGAATGGCGCATTTTCATTAGTCGATAACTCGTTCGGTATATAGCATGCGGGGTCTACCCGCATGCGAGATAACGACCAATGAAAATTGCAAGTCGATACGCGTTCGGTACCGGTTAGTTTTGATCCTATTAATAATGTTGTATTATGATTTCAGAGCATGAACCACCAGAGCAATGAGGTGAAACAATTGATGGCGACCGCAGGCGCGCTCGTGGGCCGCGCCGCCGCCGCCGAGTGGTGCGGCGAGACGCCCGACGCCGCCGACCAACAGGTACGCGTGGAGCGTACACTACTAACAAGATCCTAAACAGTCATGATGACAAGCTACAACTTGTCAATTGAGCAAGGTAATGTGGACTGTACAACCCCGTAATAAACATGAGTTTGTTTTGGCAGGAGCCGCGAGCGGGCTGGGAAGGTGGCGCGGATGTACTGCGCGCGCTGCTGCCAGCGCTGGTCAACGGCACCAAGGAGAAGAACACCTACGTACGCGCCAACTCCGAGCTCGCGCTCAAGGCCGTGCTGCGACTGCCGGCTGACGACGCCTTCCACCAGGTCAGTACATCATTTTTAGTCTTTGTTGATTTTCCCTCACGTAATAAGCTCTGTTGGCACAAGTATAGTCTGGTCCGGGAGCACGTAGAATTTTGTCCAAAGCTACCCATCCTTATCGCTCGCGCGTAATTATATTGCTGTCGCGACTGTGACAGGCGCTCGCAGTGAATGTGCGAGTATACACTATACGGGAAATTGGCTATGACGTAATAGTGTGAACACTATCTCGATTACTTTCTCCTACCCCCACCCGTGTGTCGCCCATTCTTCAGTGTGCGATCTAGGGCTCCGTCTCGGTTAATTTAAGTACACATAGTGTACTTGCGTCGAAGTCGCACTTCCGTCTAAATTGGTAGCTTCAGTTGATGACATGTCTAATTATAGGGCTATGTTCACTATACATACGCAGTTACTAAGGTCTGTCTAGTAGTTAACTATGTATTATTATCTTATAAGGCAATTAATATGTAATTTAGATGCCATGTTCAAGGTTAACGATGTTTTTACATCGCGGTTATTATTGTCACGGTTCTAACAATGAATTATGCCATCAATATGATGAAACATGTGTCTACCGTCATGACTATCATTTTTTTTATCTGCATTATCAGCGTAACGAGAGCTATTGTGGGCGTTCACAATTTCTGAAAGGAATGTTGTGTCACTCTTGATAATTTTATCAGCAGTACCTATGCGACATGTATTAGACAATGCTTTATATCTTGTTAGTCTCATCAATACTATGTAATGCAATTTAGTATCATTTAAAGTATACTTTATGTAACTAAATTCATCCACATTTAATCAGCACATCTAACTGAAAAATATGATTTCAAAATGCATGTGTGTGTAACAATAATCTAATCTTTAAATCTGCTATGAATAATGTTGCAGTTTTATGTCTCGGTATCAAGATATGAACCATTTTTTTTTTTAGATTAAAAAAAAAAAGATTATTAGTAATTTGTTATTTCACAAATTACTAATACTCCCGTTAGCCCCTCGTACTAAGCTAAATATGCTTGTGTCACGAGTGAGCTCACCATTGTGGTGAGCTCACTCGAGCGGCGGCGGGGACCGAACCCGCGTTCCCCGGATCACGAGTCGGCCAGTCCGACCCTTTCACCGTTCGGCTATCGTGGCTTCATTGTATTATTATTGTTGTCAGAAATGCGTGAGCCTGCTGGACGAGGGCGCGCGCGAGGCGCTGGCCGACGTGGTGGCGCGCGTGCTGCGGCGCGCGCACTCCGAGCACGCGCGCGACGAGGAGCTCGACTGCACGCTGCTCACCTGAGCCTCTGCCTCCGGCCCCGAGCGCACATGTTATTCATATTCATATTATATTTAACTCTCTTTACCAATACCATGTCTTTTATTTTTTAAATCCTTTATACTATTAATTTTTAATAAGATGAGGTGACAATAAACCAAATCTGAATTCCAAAAACAGCTTTATTACATTCCTACATCACAATATTAAACTGTACACTATTACTAAATGCATTTCAAAATTATTTTTATCTTGTAAAATATGGAATACATACTTATTTCTATAAATTTACATGCACAGTCGACAGCACTGGATCTAAAATATGTGATACCAGTTTATCAGAGTTGTAATGTGACGTCGTCTGCACATTATCATACACAGGACGAAGTATTCTAAATATTGTTGTTTTACGTATGTCAAGTATGTTACTACACTGGAAGCTTATAAATCAATCTTGGAATGTGGGCGAAATACCATGTTAAAACCTAGGTATTGCGCTATTTAGAGGTCAGACTTTTTAGATTTTTTCACAAAGCCCTTCTCCTGGACGAGATCGTTACATTCCTGACGGTTGAGCTGCGACAGCGGCAGCCGCTCGAGCTCGCGGTCGCCCTCGCCCAGCAGCACCAGTTCGGGGGGCGCGCCCGTGATGAACTTCACTTCCAGTCGCTCGTAGAACGGCGCGTCATCCATTATGAACTTCTTCACCTCCGGTAACCTGTTCAGCGAACATCCTCGACAACTCTGAAAGGATTTGAAACTTTATTACCTACGGAATAACCATGAAACGGCTTGCACACGGTCAGGATTTTTTTATACAATACCTCGATTCTAGCCGACACTATATCGGATATTTCATAAGCGGTCAAGGTAGTTAATAATACACTGAATATAACTGCTGCAAATAACTTCATTTTTGTGAATTTTACACAAACAAACAACACAACTGCCTCCTGACTTGCTTGCTGAATGAATGATTGATTTTTTAAACGTCTTACGTCAGTATTCGTGAGTGACTTGTGAACGAACGATAGGCAATGTTCTCTTTGGAGCCATGAACTATTTCATGTCATGTCAAAAATCACAGTGATTTCAGAGAACATCATCATAACCATCCATTTCCAAAGTCGTAAAACTACTATAAAAAAAAACATTCATTCATTCGTTCATACTTCATTCATATGAAATCATCATTCATTCTCAGACAGTGTCAAAACAGTGTTTTTGTTTGTTGTGGAATTTGCTCATTTATAATTTTAATTAAATAATTTGCCAAATTAAATACAAAGTAATAAGCAAAATACTAGAAGTAAATAAATACATTGTTGACAAAACAAGTCGCAGTTTTTAAATGTGGCGGTGTTTTATAAAGATACTTTGAAGAAATGGAAGACGTTCACAGAGGAGCCATACAAAGCAATTATGTTTCTCTCGTGGAGCAGACCGACCTGGATCTCATGGTATCAGCTCTGTACGAGAAGGGTGTTTTTTCTGAGCAAATGATCGAGCGGTATAAGGTAAGTTCTAGACAAGAATGATGAAAAAAATAAACATGATGCAATTCACATTAGGCGTTTGCTTATCCTCAAAATATACTATAGCCTTAGTATACATGTGGCAGGACACGCAGAAGGACGCCCGGCAGCGCAAGCGGCAGCTGTACCTGGACGTGATGACGCGGGGCCCGCGGGCCTTCGCGCACCTGGTGGACGCGCTGACCGAGGCCGGCTACTGGAACCTGGTGCGCGACCTCGACCCCGACAGCCAGCTGCACTCCGCGCAGGACAGGCCGAGTCCAAGCAAGTATTCACTTCTATCAAACTAAACCATCTGAAAGAGAATGTGATGCCAGTATTCACAAACAATGCTTGCTTAAGTGAAGCAGCAAATCAAACACACAGTTCAAAGTTCAAACATTTATTTGCCAGAAAGCGTTGAATAGAGCTCTGTGATTGGTTGGTGTGTCACCCTGTGAGTCCACGCGCACTGTGAGACCTCATAGTAATGTTTGTGAATATGGGTATAAATCGAAATCCTGACATTCATGAAAATTCTATACATATGGCTCAAAAAAGATCCCAATCATCTAATAATGCAGTGACGTCTAAATTATGTAGTTAGTACCTTTACTCTATTTGCTTTTTATTCTCATTTATTTTATACTCAATCATTACTTGCCACACCAGCCATTATTAGCTAACTATTGGACCTAAACCAAATACCTAGTTACAATCTTTAATTTTCTTAATAAATTTTGGATTTATGTTTGTAGGACCACTACCACCAAGAACCCGAGAAGAAAAACCATTCATCAGCATTAGTAATGGGAGGACTAAACCTGTAACTGGTATTGATCCACAAAAAAGTAAGTAACAGACGTAAGTTGCCCACAACCACTCAAAAAATATATTCAACTAGCTGACCCGGCGAACTTTGTTCCGCCTTAATGGTAATAAATAAGCAGACTTTTTTTTATTTCGAACGGGATAAAAAGTATCCTATGTCCTTCTCCTGGCTCTAAACTACCTCCCTGACAATTTTCAGCTAAATCGGTTCAGCCGTTCTTGAGTTATAAGTGGAGTAACTAACACGACTTTCTTTTATATATATAGATATATTAAAATGTATAACTGTTTGTCATGTCTGTACCTTGGGATTAATGTTTTAAATATTTGTAAGTATGCTGTATTTTTTGCTATATCAAAAAATCTGCTACATTTTTTGTGCTTGCTTCATTTAAAATATTGTTGTATTTTTTTCTTATAGCTAATGAAGAGAAGGTCAACCAAAAACCAACAGAATCTGAAATGAACTATTCACATGAAGATTCTAAGATCCCACACTTTGATGTGACTAAAAGTACGAAATACTACGATGACGATGATGAAGTCTCAGGTAATAAGCTCTAAAATAAAGTTTCTCTAAAAATTTTAATCGTTTAAAGTCCGGTCGCCGAGCAATATAATTGCGCGCGAGCAATAAGGAAGGGTAGCTTGGGGTCATTGTAAGAAATTATATCTGCTCGGCGACCGGACTTTAGAAACAGGGCATTGATAGTTGTTTATGTAACGACAGGCATCAAGGCGTACCGCACGCGCGACCGCGGGCGCGGCGCCCTGATGGTGTTCAACTACACGGAGTTCGCCAACCGCGTGGAGGAGCCGCGGCTCGGCGCCGACGTCGACTGCGTCAAGCTCAAGTACCTGTTCGACGAGATGGGCTTCACTGTGCGCTCCTACCCCAACTACACCAAGAAGGTCAGCTCCGGTTCCTTTGACTTTGGCTAGCTTTAACTGGCTTGCTCAATGGCTATGAATTTAGACAGTTTTCCAAAAAATTTTTGAATTTATTTTTCTGATACTTCTTGAATAATTGTAAAAAAAATACAAGTTAACCACAAACCAAACTCCATATAAATCAACCACAAACCATTTTCTATCAGTGTTTACAAAATGTGTCAAGGACACTGGACACCACATGGATCTGGGTCACTCGGACCCGACATCAAGTTGTGGAAAGAACATGTGACGACTGGAAGATGAGGAGTAGTACAGTTCGCGAAGCATAAGCTGAGCTTAGCTGGTATGAGTGATCACCAAAAGTAGAATTGGACAAAAAAGTTTTAAAAATCGCAAAAATGTTTATATGGAAAAACTGAACTAAGAATTAAACACCTCATGCTGCTAAATGTGGCAGATGCGCGGCGGACTTATGACTCAGACCGATTGCTATAACGTGGTAATAAACGACCGATTGCTATAAACTGTCACAACACCATGTGCACTCCCACAAAAATCCAAAGCTTAGCTCAGGCCTCGCGAACTGGAGCTTTTCAGCTGACATCCCATCACTTATGTTCCAGGAGACAGTGGAAGTGCTGGAGTCGCTGAAGACGAACTCGGTGATCGTGGAGGCGGGCTGCGTGTTCGTGGTGGTGTCGTCGCACGGCTACGCGCGCGCGCACAGCTCGGACAACGACTTCCGCTGCCACGACGGCACGCTCATGTCCACCAAGGACTTCCTGCAGTACTTCAACAACCTGCACCTGCCCGCGCTCGAGGGCGTGCCCAAGGTCTTCATCTTCCAGATCTGCAGGTCACTTTCGTTTCACTGTTCGCATTTTATGTTTGCGTTCTTGATACATTATCTTTTGTTTGCGTGAAAGAGTGGACAGTTTTCTGAGCGATTCATCGATAAACACCTGCATATTCTTATTGAGATTATTATCAAGAGTGTACACGGACACGCGTCAAAAGCTGTATTTGAATTTACTTTCAAGTGTCCTAAAAAGGACACGTTCGTTCGTTCGTTATAGCCAAATAACGTCCACTGCTGGACAAAGGCCTCCCCCAAGGTTTTCCACAATGAACGGGTCTGCGCTACCCGCATCTAGGCTCTTCCTGCGACCTTCACCAGATCGTCGGTCCACCTAGTAGGAGGCCTGCCCACGCTACGTCTTCCAGCCCGTGGTCGCCACTCATGAACTTTTCTGCCCCAACGGCCATCGTCTCTACGAGCTATGTGCCCCGCCCACTGCCACTTGATTTTAGCGATTCTGCGGGCTATGTCGGTCACTTTGGTTCTCCTGCGGATCTCCTCATTTCTGATTCGATCACGCAGGGAAACTCCGAGTACAGAATAAGAAAAGGGCACAAAATAAGGTATATAATTTGTCCCGAAGGGGCTCGGAGGTGGACTGGACGACGCTGCAGATGCCGTACAGCACGGCCAGCGACGGCGCGCCCTACGGCAGCGCGCCCGCGCCGCGCCCCGCGCCGCCGCCCACGCCCCGCGACCAGCGCGCGCGCGTCTACTCCGACATCCTCATCGCGCACTCCACCGTGCCGGGTACGAGCGCTCACTTGCAATGAGGGCTATCGTTTTAGCGCTCACCAGTTAGCGCCACTGTAGAGTAAGCTCCTGTCACTTGCTAGTAGCGAAGACAATGGCGCCAACTTGTGAGCGCTTAAGTGGTAGGAGGACTATCGCATTTGCACTCGTCAAGATGGCGCCACTGTAGGGTAAGGTCCTGTCAATCGCCAGGGGTGCCAACTGTTAAGTATAAAAACGATAGCCCTCATTCGAGAGTAGTAGTTCGTTAGCTATTCAAAATTAGACAAGCCGAGCCAAAATTCGTGTAGTGTGAACCGACTTATGAGCATCGAACGAGCGCGTTTCGAACGTTTGGCTCATGTTCGACTGTGCTTCAACTGTTGTCAGTTTTTTGACGAACGTAGGGATTTCGAGGCGCATTGAGGAGTGATTATTTTAGGCTCATCGTATGTCACTTGACACCGCGAGCGGCTCGGCTTGCGCTCAACTAAAGCCGGCTGTTGCTGTCGCGCTCGCACACTCACTGCGGGCGCGCGTCGCACAGTCGCGACAGCAATATAATTACGCGCGAGCAATAAGGATGGGTAGGTTGGGGTCATTGGACAAAATTCTACGTGCTCACGGACCAGGCTTTAGTCTAGCATAGATTTAACGTGTTGGCGGTCGTTCGCAGGCAACGTGTCGTACCGCGACAGCAAGGACGGCTCGTGGTACATCCAGGTGCTGTGCGAGGTGTTCGCGCGCTATGCGCACGAGCGCGACGTGGTGGAGCTGTTCACGCTCGTGGACCAGCAGCTGGAGGAGCGCTTCCGCATCCAGACGTCCAGCATCGAGCGCTGGGGCTTCAACCGCCGCCTCTACCTGCACCCCGGCCTGCCGCGCCCGCCGCGCGACCGGCCCGCCGACGCCACCCGGCCTGCCCAGCCCGCCCAGCCCGCCGTATGAACTATCGAAACACGGGCAAAGGTGAACACGTGTTGTGTAACTCTCGGGTAGCTGTTTTTATACAGGATGTCCCAGAATGGGTGAATCAAACTGATAGGGGAGGTAGCTCTACTAATGTACTATCCCAAAAAAATATGAAAAAAAAATATTTGAGTTCGGAATTTTTTTTTTTCAAGTAAAGTGCTCTAAACTCGAAATCTAGTCATTATTTTCAAAAGTTTTTTACAGATAAACGAAGCGATCATGTACAATTAATGTTAGTAAGAAAAAAGTACAAATAAACTCCTCTCAACTTAGGCAAAGCTGATTTATTTTCACTTTTTCAAAAAAAATTTTTTTGTTTCCTTATGCGCTTTATTTTCTTTTCATATTTTTTTGGGATAGTACATTAGTAGAGCTACCTCCCCCTATCAGTTTGATTCACCCATTCTGAGACACCCTGTATATTTTACGGTATATTTATTACGTATATTACGGGCTCCACTAATGTTAATGTATGTCTAAATGAAGATACGACGCATAACACATCGGTAATAACGTTTTAAATTGTTTACCCCTATATACTTACTCGGTATTACCTATACGTATTATGAATGTTAATCATTTATTCAACTTAGATCTAAGAAATTACAAACTAACATAGTTATAGGAACGTTTTATGATAGGACCATTACTAATATTATGTTCGTAAGAATTAGATGATGGACGTTTACTGTGATAATAGGAATGAATTGTTGTAACGACGATAGTGCGTGACGCACCACTGCCCTTGTAAGTGTATCATATAATCTGTAAGATTTGTAAATATATTTACTTATTTTTGATTATTGTAATCGTGTTACATATTTTGCTCATAAGAGTAGCTCACCGTGTACTTATAAAATATGTTGTTTAATTTTTACTTATGGATTATAATTTATGTCTCCACTTGGCCAAATACTTTGAAGAATGTAAGTAGGATGACAAGCAATATTCAATACTGTTATTAGCACTGTTTCTCTAATAGTATTGCACCCTTCCATGTTCAACATTCTGTAATGCATTATTATTGTATTCTGTCGTTGACTTATTAAATCAAGAAAGAACACTTTTCAATAACTTTATATTCTATGCATTTATATTTATGAATTAAAGGGGGCTTTAAGGTTATACATATTTTTTATAATGTAGTGGAAAGATTCTTAGTTTCAAATAGTATCTCTTTAGTTATCGAGCATTTCTAAATCTACAATAAATTATATTTTTTTTACACAATAACTTTTACAATAATTTTATTTTACCAAGAACTGAAAATAAATAAATATTATCATAGGACAAGCTTTTGCTTTTGCTCACGGCTTCGCCCGCGTGAAATTTAATTTGTCACATCATTATACATTATAACCTAATGTATTAACAATAATAATACTGTAGTTTCATCAAATTCCGTTCAGTATTATTGCGTGAAAGTGTAACAAACATACGACCTTACAAACTTTTTCATTTATTATATTACTAGGAATAGTAGGAATCATTACTTTTATAGTTTTAACTTTGTGTCTCATACATCTCACCATTAGGTATGTACCGAGATATATTGTTGCGGACTTGCAGGCCCGTTACGCTGCACAGAGCAAATAATCACTAGTGCTGGCTGTTACTTTAAACGGCATTGATCCGTTAATACCTATTCGCTCTCTATAGTTATTCTTTCACACAGGATCTTGTATACCTTATACTTTTATGTGGCTGTGTTTAAAAAAAAACTAGTTCATTTAATAGATATTAGTCTGTTTATTCAGTTCAATGAAAGTGAGACCATACAAAAATACACAACAACTCTATACAAGTTACTCAAATGATATATTATTATGCCTTGTTCCTGTAGATCGCCTAATCGAATTGCATTCATTTTGTTCGCGTGATTTATGTGTACAGATTTTAACTACAAATTTATACGTTCTTATCACATATACGCGGGTTAAATCTAATTAAATGTACAACACCTTAGTAATGCAATTCGATTTTGACAACTACTTAATTAATATAGAGGCGTACTGTGGAGGGATCTTTAGACGATAATGAGATAGATAGTATCCATAGCGTTAATAGTTAGTTAACAAAATTGAGCAAGAGAAATTAAGCAAATTAAACGTTACAGTCTTTGAGTTGTAATAAATAATATGGAAATAGAATGGTACAGTTGATAAACTAATTTCACTTATTTTTAGAAAATGATGGGATACACTTTGTATCTAATAATCAACATTTTTACTTCACATGAGATCTCGTTAAACGTTATTCCCTTACACGGAAGACGATAAATAAATCGTTACGATCGAACTTTAAAATATTGTGCCAGAAAATCATCCGAGCGTTCTTTCGGCTCGTTTCCTAAATCGATCGCCGCTAAACAAATAAATATTTTTCTGTTTTTTTTTCGAATTCACAACGAGCTTTATTGAAGCACAAGAATCTTTAGTAATAATAATAATAATAATAATAATAATAATAATTTATTCATCAAAATAAGAACATTATAAGAACTTATTATGCTAGAGTTTACATATAGTTCAATAGTCTTTTGTAGAAGTGTTAGTGAAGATTCAAAGAGTCCGGGTCGTCGCCAAGGTCGTCGGTCGGCGCGCGGCCCTACCGGTCCGACACCGCCGCCGCCAGCGCGCCCAGCCGGCTCAGGTTCAGCCACTGGCAGTGCGGCTGCGGGCCCCACGAGCGCGCCGTCCACTCGCGCCGCGCCGCGCGCCCCAGCCAGCGCCGCACCAGCCCCACCAGCGAGTTCTGGTGCAGCCAGCTGAGCGCCGGCGACCACCACGCCTCGGGCGCGCGGCGCTCCGCGGCCGGCGGGGGCGCGCCCCGGCGGGCCCAGGNGCGAGCAGGGCGGCGGCGGCGGCGGCGGCGCGCGCGAGGGCGGCCAGCACGGCGGCGTCGCAGGCGGCGGCGAGGTCGGCGTACGTGAAGTATCCGCGCGCCGCCGCCTGCCGCAGGGCGACCGCGCGCTCGAGCCATTGCAATCTCGATTCGAACGACTTTTCGCTGACGAACACGTTCCAGTCCTGAAAAAAGCGACGATGTGAGTCGCATCGCTTCGAATCGATCGCACTCGTTTTCACTTTTAGGGTCGATTCTTACTATCGCACTGAGGAACTCCACTTCCAATCTCTTCAACGTTTTGAGATCGATGCCGCCGGAGGCCGCCCATTCCGAACATATCACCTCGTCATCTTCGCCGTCATCTTGCAAGAATTTGTTTCCTACCATCTGTTGACAATATTTTAACTCAGTGAATCACCGGTACTCCGTATCTGCACTCATACGCCAGTAATTGTTCCGCTAGGGACGCACCAGTGAGACTAGAAAGAGGTCGGCGGGCGGGGTGGCGGCGAGGTAGTGCGGGTTGGCGGCGCGCAGGCGCTCGAGGTACAGCAGCGCCAGCACGAGCGCGCAGGGCGACACGCAGGCGCCGCGCGCCAGCCGCGCCGCCGCGTCCGCGTGCAGGCGCCGCAACGAGCGCCCGCGCTGCGACACCGACCACAGCTCGCACGATATCTCTGAAGGCAGGTAGGCACAATGCTGTGTAAACGTATGCAGAAGCGTAGAAACACAAGATAAGTTTTACAGAAAGAGTTGAGGTCAAAATTTTTGCACACGCAAGCAAATGATACCGTGCAGTATGCTGTAAAGTACCAATGTGACCAATCGAGGAGACCATTATGTAGGAAATGGTTTTATTATTGTAGTTTACAGGAAGTACTATTAGTTTTTCAAGGTTACTTGTACAATATGTAAATAGTTAATATAGTTGCACACACCAGTAACAGGCAGGCTCAAGCAGGGCAGCGCCGGCAGCTGCCCGTAGTACAGGGTCTTAGTGATGCGCTTCAGGAACTCTTTGTGATCGCCCATGCTCTGTGTTCATAAGTACAAAACTGTTTTCAATTTACACAATAAAAATTAACTAGAAGAAGTTCAATCACTGAATTATGTGGCATAATTAATTAATGTTACTGTAAGTGTTACTGCACAATTATTGCATTACTAATGCAAATTGTATCTTACAAATATTTCATTCCTAACTTCTTTCCTAATTAGTTGATTTAACCAAAATCAAAATGTGAGCAAGTTTATTGGTTTTTTTAGGTTCAAAACATAACACTTGTTTAACAAAGTTTAAATGTATCGGTTGACGTGAAGTATTGTTCTTGCTCACAGGTCGTGATTTTATTATACCATCTAATTAACACCAAACGTAGTTAATAATGTACAGCGTACTCGGACACATTTTCACGACGTGCTACAGACTGTAGCTGTAACTGTAGCCTACAGTGATCACGAATCGGCCACGATGTGACCTCCTTACAATACCTTGATCTTGGCTCTAGAGCCTTCCTTTCTTCTCTTAGATACACTAGACATTTATAACGTTTGCTGTATATTGGTCCCAAAGAGAAATATTTTAAGTAAAACTCCAATTTATTTTAAATAAATATTACAAAGGAGTGACCGAATTATAACAAATATTCGGTGAGTAAATAAATGTCAATGTCAAACAAACAAACGTCATCAAGTAAAAATGTTCATCATTCATTCGTTCGTTAAGGTTTACTAGTATCGCGCGTTAACAACTTGATCGTATATCTCACAATATATCTCCTATCGTGGGTCCCAGAAAGCATTTATCCTCTCCTCTCCTCTCAAATCTTCTCTCTTTCTTAGATGTGCATGAACGTCCACGCTCTCTCTCTTTTCTCCAACTTTGCATTTTGATTTGTGCCTTCATGAAGAGAAATCAAAGATATTCACGAAAGGATGAACTAGTACGCATATACCCGTAATAATATTTAATTTGTGGGAAAGTCTTAATATACCTTACACCTTGCCATTGATAACTCTAAAAAAGTCAAAGTCAATATTCTGTCAAAAGTGTCAAATTCTAGCAGTGGATGGACGGAAAATTGGTTTTTTCGAGTCCTCCACAAAGGCATTTTAATTTTATTTCTTTCTGTGCAATTTATTTACGTATTATCTAGAAAGCTATTTAATGTACCTAAAGATTTAAAACATTTATTTTTGTGATAAGTAGCATTAATAGAAAAGTAAAAGTATAATTTCTATCATTTGTGTGGGTCTCTGTCAGTGTTATTGATTTCTTTTTATTTTAGAGTTTGAAAATTATGTAGACATGACTAAATATTACAAGACCAAGTGAATCCTGAACGAACGATGATAATATTTGGATGGAGTTTACAATAATGTACTCTCAACATGAAAACTAAAAGCTTTCTTCTATTTTCGACCTCTGTTTTTGCTATTAGTATTTTTCTGATAGTATTCCACTCACAACCGCCGCAGTCGATCCAGAGTATTGTGACCCAAACACACCAACACATCAAAGACTTTCAGGTATCTTGATATCCATATTACTTATGTTTTTATTTATCACTCAGTAAATCCTCCTTTGGACTCCATTCGCGTCTCAATGTCGGGGACCATTTTTTGTTTTATTTTTTATCTCGATTATACAACAAAGAAAGACCAAACAATGTGGATTCCTAAGTATAATTTTGTATAAATATAATATGGCTATAAACGGTTTAGTCCACAAAAATAATGAACTACTGGTCTTTTTCTGTAAAAATAAAATTATAGTTTAGTTTATTTTAACTTTTGATTCATAAATCTTATACTATGAATAATATGTTTTAAAGAAACTAGGTGTGTGATTATTCCTTGATATTTGAGTAGGTTTTGATATGATTCTTATTTAAATATAATAGGTGAAGTTAATTCAAATAAGGAATCAATGGTTGATGTTTTAATACAGTACTGCCTCCCTAGACAAGTAGCACTTTTTGGTCGAATCAAAAATCAAATCCATTAAAACTCCATTAAAAAGAGCTTACAACCATTTTTCGACTGGTTTGCGATTATAATGAAACTTTTTCACAATGCAGACACTAAAATGTATCCTTGTGTTTGTGCTGAAATGGTTCTGTTCCAACTTTGTTTAGAATGGAGGTAGACAGGAAATAAAAAAAGAGATTTCCTTGTTTGCAAATGAGAATATCAAGTCACTAGAACTCTTGGAAGTGTACATTTGTCGGGCAACATGTATAATGAGAGCAGGTGTCGGTGTCGCCACAGGAGAGCCTGCGCGATGTGGAGGGCAGCCACCTGGTGCAGGAGGAGCGCTACCTGCGCGCCGCCGGGCTGCGAGCGCGCGCCCCCGCCGCCGCCGCGCCCGCGCTCGTCACCTACGCGCGCCAGGACCACGCGCTCGCCGTCAGCTTCGTGCGCCACGCCGCCGCGCTGCCCTACCCCGTGCTGGTCTACAACCTGGGCCTCAAGCCCTACTCTCTGGCCGTGGTGAATCTACTCTTCATTTTAAACTTTTAAGATATACCAGCTAGAAAAAGCGATGCACACACTAGTTCCGGCAGACTGGACGATGCTCGTGCTCAGAAGCACAAATCGCCAGCTCCATCATAGGCCTCTTTGCTCCGCTGTACTTTGTGTACAACAATGAAGTTGTTATAAGAGGTGTAAATTTTATTAACATGATTTTTAGGTCTATTCCACTTTGATCACCTGGCTTTGATGACCCAGGTGATCAAATACAGGTGACTATTCAGAGGAGGTGTGATTTATATGTAGGTGATCAAAGCACACTAAAATAATAATTTAACTGGAGTTCACTTTGATCACCTGGGTCATCAAAGCCAGGTGATCAAAGTGGAATAGATCGATTTTTATGCTGTCATGATAGCTGTTTGGTCTTACCAACCTGTCCATCAATCAGTGATGTTAGATTCCTTTGTTATCAATGATGCATGTCTTGAATGATTTAGCATATTGAAAGCCATGTCTGATGCCCTCAATGGCGCCGCTCCCGCGGCTGGTGGCTCGTGTCGTGCGAGACACCGCGCAGGGTGAGGCCTCGCAATCGTAATTTTGTGAGTCGCGTTTTTGTGTCGCGTGATTCGAGTATCATTAACCTTGAATCAATTCACTTAGTTTTTGGTGTCCGTACCTTTTGGCCTCATTAATTTGCAGTAAGAATTTCTGTTCTAATTAAATATTCCATTTGATGTGTGGACTACTATGAACCGCATAATATTATTTTTGATATTGATTGTAACGTTTCATTTCGTCATAGCTGCTGGTACCGAACATTTACATTGAGCTAATGAATGTAACTCTATACGGGTACACGATTGAACTCATTAGCAAAATCGTATGTTAATGCATCCGCATTGGCAGCGTTACGGGAAACGTAACTTTTAATAACATTCTGTGGGAAATAAATTTTCTTTTATCGATCTCAAACACGACAAATTAATAAGACTCAACTTCAAAGACTCGCGATTGGATTCCCTGAATCGCAATAGCAGAGCTTGGCTCACTTACTTAGGGGTGCAAAGACACAATTTATGCTGATACTGAATATCTTTCGTCCACAAGTTGTTCTTGTTTGTTGTCGCACAGGAAAAGTCAGTCGCTGCGGTTCACCGACAAGCTTGGTTGAGGCTAGAGAGAGTTAGCAAGTAACACGAGCCGTAATCAAAACGTAAAAGCCGTTGACATAATAATATGTCTGCGGCTTAATGTAACCTGAGACGTGTTTGTTTTGTGTAAATGCAATAATAACTGTGTCTTGCGCGTCCCCCCAGCTGTCGAGCTTCTGCAACTCGTCGAAGTGCTCCGTCGTGGACTTCGACCTGGCCGCCTTCCCCTCGCACGTCAGCGACGAGAGCATCCACGCCTTCCGCCCGCTCATCATACAGGTGAGCACGTCACATTTTTTGTCCGGGGAACCAGACGCAGGTTAGCATCCCTATACTGTTGACATTCCACCAGCTCGCACTAAGCGTTTCGATGACTCGTTTATAATGCGAACAGCTAGGGACTGGAATTCGTTGCCTGCTGCTGTCTTTCCCGAAGACTATAATCCTGGCCTTTTCAAGGCGAGCGTGAATAGGCACTTACAGGGCAGATATGTAGCATCCTAGACTACATCCCACTTAACACCAGGTGCGATTGTGGTCAAATACCTGCCTTTTTTATGCCTAAAAAAAGCCTGAGAGATTCATTCACAATTTTACTGGTGTCTAAAAAAGTTTCAGGTAGATATGTGTATTTAACGCTATCTATAACAAATGTAGGTTTCTAGCGATGTCTTATCTGCTAGAATATTTTTAGCAGATATTTTACTAGACTCTCTATCTAACATGTAAATTAGGCTATCGTGGAATTATCAGCAAATGTTGAAAGGGCCATAAGTTCATTTAACTTATGGTACATTGTTTTTTATTCTTGACTTTAACAATAAAGGTAGCATTCAGTATTTCATATTGAGATAGGGATTGTAATATGTAAGGTGTTCCATAGTTTAAAAGCATGGCACTGCGTGTTAAGTACCCGAAAGTTAAGCGGCCGTGATGACACGTGATTTAATTAAGAACTCGCCGTAATTGCGGTCAACGCGAGCCCTCGGCATCGATGCCTCTTTCATCAAGTGACCAGTGACCTCACTGCGCGGCGCGTGTATCATGCAGGTGCATGGCGTATGAGCTTCAGGTAGATAACGGGCTGTTTGATAATGAGTGTTTACTCAGTTGGATCGCTGTGCCTATACTGATAAGATTAACTTGAAACTGATTTCGCTGTTAATATACATACACCACCAACTCAATGCCTACTTTATTATAAATATATTACGTTAATACTAAGCCTTGTAGAGATGAGAGTCTTAAGTTTTGCAGAAATCTGATCCTTGTCGATATCCTACCCTAAACGCAATGAAAAACTCCATTTTAAAGTAAGAATTCCAATTTTATAGTGAAGTTTCTGAAAACAGATGACTCATAAATTGTAATACAGTAAGTAATACACTTATGCGATTCGATGAACAATGCGTTAAGATAAGGATGTGGAAATTATGAAAACTTTATGTTCACGCTTAAACATTTGACGGTAAAACCTGGCTAGCCGCTTTGTATGTTGTGTGTTTCCCCACTATCGCCTGTTGCCAGAACCTATTACTATTTATTATTACATGTAATCAGCGAATGTTTCATTCCCGCTCGCAACTAGCCTTATCGGAACACATTGCTATCCTTTTACCACTAATTCGCATCAAAACCACGGGCGCGAAGTGGTGATTGCGTGCACGTGTTCTTACCAGGCGTGTAGGCGCGGGTATTTTGTCGGAATAACGCTATTTGTGTTGGCTATAATACTATTTAGCGTTATGTCAGAAATATTTACATTTTCTCTGCGATTTTTTATCTTGACAACCATAAAAAGTTGCTACTATCTAGGCCGTACCTACGCCAGGTAGTATTAAAAAATATGCGAATCTCTGGACGCGGAATTGAGGTAACAGGGATTTAAAAATAAAGCCCGTGGATCTGGCTCGGCTTCCTAACTTTAAATATTTATAGGATAGGGTTGTCGACTGGGCTGGAAAGGCCACTATTATGTCATCCTTCCTATGGACATAAGTAATATAAGTAGATGTAGTTTGATACAAAGACTCTGTTGAGTGAATTCGGTGTAAGATCTTGGCGGGCAAGCGGTAATCACTGCCGGGGAGCACGCCATCGCGCCGGACGCCGCGCCTCTGTGCGCCATTCATTTACACGTTCGCGTTGACTCACAAACAATGCTTAGATAGAGGGCTGTGTCAAGGTCTTCTACGTTTCGATAACAATACGAAAAACCAAATTGTATAAAACATGTTCTAGATGATGATAAAATCCACTTAGTTATAATATTTTTTTATTTTTTGTGTGAACACATCAAAAGCGTGGGTTTTAATGTCTAGACTTATCCTGTTATTGATATTTTGGCACGGTGTGATATTTATCAAGGACTGATTGAGGTCATTCAAACGTTTCCAGCATTGATAAAAACAGGGAACATAAATTCCTTATTGTTGTTCAGGGTCGAGTCTATTTTAGGCAGATATTTTTTGAGTGTTTGAAGTTTTGGGCTTGGCACGGTTGGTACTGCAAAAAAATATATCGATCGCTTCACGATTAGTCGTACGGGGTACGTAGTAGCAGTACGGGGAAGCCAAAATAGATAGATATCAAAATTTTGTTTAATTTAATTCTGTAGTTTGAGTCAATACGGTAGCCTTTTATACAGATGTACAGATTTCACCAAGTGACCGCGCGAGGCACCCACTACAATAAGTGTACCGTCACCGTCATACCTTTAGCTGACGTCATATAACTCGTAATGTGCGATTGTTGTATGTGACTTCAGAACATTTTTTTGTACGTTAATGTGTAAGACATGTTTTAATTATTTTTAAAATTAAATCGTACTCAATATAACGAATGCAGAATGAAAGCAGCTCGTGTCGTCTCATTCCAGCACGCGCTGAGCCGCACCGGCGGCGTGGTGTTCAGCGACAGCGGGCTGGAGTGGGCGGGCGACGCGGCCGCGCTGGCGGCGCTGTGGGCGCGCGCGGCGGGCGGGGCGGGCGCGGGCGCGGGCGGCGGGCTGCTGGCGTGGCCGCGGCGCGCCGCCGTGACGTCGCTCACGCACCCGCGCATGTTCCGCTACCTGCGCGCGCGCCCCGACGACTTCCTGTTCGTGCAGATGGTGGAGGCCGAGCGGCTCGTGCTGGCCGCGCGCCCGCCCGTGCCCGACGTCATGCGCCTGTGGGTGCAGTGCGCGCTCACGCTCGACTGCATCATGCCCATAGGTCAGCACGAGCGCCGAGCTCGTTCTTTATCTTTATCCGACTCTATGATCTGTCCGCG